TTATTAATGACGGGTGTCATTATTAATAATGACGGTTTTATCATTATTAATGACGGGTATCATTATTAATGATAGGTTTCAATATTAATAATGATGGTTTTATCATTATTAATGACGGGTGTCATTATTAATAATGACGGTTTTAGCATTATTAATGACGGTTTTAGCATTATTAATGACGGGAGTCATAAATAATTCAAATGTTGTTTAAATGTTGCTTAATACCGTAAAATGTTAATTAAATGTTACTCAAACGTTACTTAACTGTTGTTCAAATACGACTTAAATATTGCTAAATATCGTTAAATGTTGATGAATATTGAAAAATGTTGCTAGATATTTGGTCATGTAGTATAAAACGCGCATTGGTATAGCACGTGATTAATAAGGCCAAATTTATACTTCTTAACATATTATCGATCCTTAGACATCATACTATTGTGTCCAATTAGCGGTTATGTCTCTAAACTGTCTGTCTGTATTATTTATTTATTTATTATGCGATACACAGTGTTTTATTTATATTTAAACGACATTATACAGTAAGGCGAGTCACGCGGCCGTTTCCCTACGTCAGCTGACCTCTGGCTCTATATAAGTCAACATTACACATCAAGTTATAAGCAATCCACGTGATCAACTTTAACCAATCAGAAGACATACAGCCGCGTGATATGACGCTGAAAACCAATCAAATGGTCATATTTTGCCGGACTGCTGCATAATCACAATTACGAGTGTACTTATGACATTCAAAGTTATCGCGAAAGTCACGTGATTGTTTCCTACATCAGCTGACCTCTGACTCTATATAAACCGACATTACACAGCAAGGCGAGTCACGCGACCGTTTCCCTACGTCAGCTGACCTCTGGCTCTATATAAATCAACATTACACATCAAGTTATAAGCAATCCACGTGATCAACTTTAACCAATCAGAAGACATACAGCCGCGTGATATGACGCTGAAAACCAATCAAATGGTCATATTTTGACTCATGTGACAACTGTGCAGAATAAATAGGATATCGATATTGTACAGCACCCAGATCACTACTGCCCTCTCGCTTGCAGTCATACAGTAGCGCGCGACCGCGCCGAAGGCGGCACGGGAAACAAGCGCGTCACGCGCAGTATTATAGTATTAGTACGCGTAGACTCATGGCTAGGTGAAACATATGACAGCTTGGAGGACTTCGCCGCTTCGACGAGCCGCGCGAACTAGCATTCTTGCTTCACAGAGCAACGATCTCGATGGGTTGACATCGTCAACCAAATGACAGCTAGTGAGCTAGCCGTAAAACGCCAACTTAGTGCAGAATCAAGGAAGTTATAAAAATATTTCATACGTATCTGGTATCAAATTTGATATAATATTTATAATATAATCTCCCCCAGGTGGCAGGTAAGAATGAGTATAATTATAAACTTGGTATCCGTATATTCAGTCAGTGATCGAAATGCAACGTGTGTTTTACTGGCAACTGGGCGGCGCTCAGCTTGTCATTCCGCCGATATCTCTAGACTCGGTTTATTATGTTTATAAACATTATAGCCTGGGTCCCCAGGTAAACATCAAGCAATGCCCATGCCCGATGGGTACTCAGTAACACTAACTGAGATTAGACATGAAAGCCAACGTATAGTAGTATATATATTATGATATAATTAGTATGTGTACTTATAGTGCTACTGACTTGACACACGTTACCTGGGGATCGAAGTCCGGAGTAGGCTATAATTTGCAGAATAATCCGCAGAGTTAAACTTAAAGTTGCAAAATTTTATTCGGCCCAAAATGAGACTATTCTGGAGATTTTGAGATAACTCAAAATCTATGTTGTCTCAAATTTCCCCCTGGGGGAAAATTTATTTTTACGAGTGACACTGACGAGGCGAACATTTTGCAAAAACCGGAAGTCTTTATCTCTTACTTTCGAAGTTAGGCCCCAGCCGGTAAGGTTTCCTGGGTAGTTTAATTTACGCTTTTTTATGTTTTAATTAAGCATTTAGAATATCAATAATTTAACTTCAACTGCTTTGAGTTTGTCGTTTGTACTTGTAGGTTTATAACCTACCAACAACCAAAAAAAGTGCCGAGTTGGACTCGTCGACGGTTTTGGTATACCTCGGGATTATAACGACGGGTTTATTAACGACCGGTTAAAATATGGTTCGGGAAAAATATGGCGAAATTGCTCAAAACCCACCACATTTTCCCGGTCGCCATTTTACCGGTGTCCAACCTTTCAATTTTAGATTCAAAAATTTTGTCTCAGATGTAAATTTCCTTATTAGAGATAAGCAGGTTCAGAAATTTTCGCATTGCTAAAACTTGTGAAACAAGTCGAATTATCAATAATTGTTGCAAGTAGACTCTAGCAAATTCGTTGTTTTGAATTAGCATTACATGTTTACGTGTATCAAATAACCATTATGACTCAATTTGTAGAAAATCTTCGAAAGAATGCATCGTTCACATTGTTTAGAATTATGAATAAATGACTGATGAAACTGATTCATGTTATTGACCGTTTTAATTAATTCGAGTTTTAATTTAACTGTTACTTTTTACTTTGAGTCCTATTTCATTATTATATGTAGAGATAGTCAATACCTAAGAAATTAAAAATTGGCCTATTTAAATCAACTTTGACAATAAGGATATATGACAAGAATTGGGCAAAAAGGTGAATTTTTTGCAATTTTAGCCAAATGAAGTCGAAAAACCTACAACAAGTGTCCCAATAGTCTTCTTTAGTGAATATAAGACAACCATTAAAATATGAGCACCCATACCCCTTGGGAACCCTAAAAGCTGAGTCGGCGGGTTTATTAACGACCGGTGAAAATGTGGTTCGGGAAAAATATGGCGAAATTACCCTAAACTCGCCACTTTATCCCGGTCATAATAATCCCGAGTAAGGTATTTGGATTTTGGAACAAATATTTTACGAGTATCACCCGTTAACAACTGCTATGCATATTGTTTTTGGTTTTTTAAATGGAACCGACTGATCGAAATTTCAATCTCATGGAGTCATGGTGCTAGAGGTTTGAGTTTTGGTATAACTATAAGTATATTACTGGGCCGCGCTCAGCCTGTCATTCCGCCAAATCTTTATTATTATGTTAATGAACATAATAGCCTGGGGTCCTCAGGTAATAAGTATAAAGTTACATTTTAAAATGTAACTTTATACCAACAAATAAAAAAACAAGATGCACCTTAGAAATTAATTTTAATTCTGAAAGTCAAATTCAACAAAAAGAAAATATCATGTTGATCATTTTTATTTACTAAAAATCATTCCAACCGCCGCGCTCAGTTAATAAATTCAAATAACAAATTCATGCTAAGCAATATCACAAATTTCTTTTGCCTCTGTTGGTATAGTTTGATAGATTATAGGACCTGATAGAAAGTTTACCACTAGTCTTGTTCCTGGGTTTAACGCTACTAGTCCAGCCCCCCTGCCTGAACATCTCCGTGGGCTTCCTAACTGAATACACGTTGTGTCGGTATCGTGGCTGATTTACGGCCGTGTCCACAACTGCAACATTCTGATCCTCAGTGTTGTTAACTGACAAACTGACCGACTGCACTCGACTAATAGCTGACTTTGCTGACTTTCCCTGATTGTCGACTGCTGTCTTGTCGGGGGGTTGTGTGTTGCGTAAGAAGTTAAGGTAAGAGGAGTGAGATTTTTTCCACGCAGAGATCTTTTGAGAGTTGTCGCAAGCCATAATTAAAAGTCCCTGCTGTTAATTCAAGATGCACATCTTAGTAGTTTCCTGATTAAAATGGTATTCTTCTAAGTTATAACCCCGAGGAATTGCATAAGATATTAGGCGATCACCTTCAACATTCAAACTTTTAAACCCCCTCTCTGTAAGTATAATCAGATTTAAACATATCTTATCGGTCATAATTATCACGGACATTACTTTCACGCTGTAGACCTTAAGTGTGAATAATTAAGTCCGTGAAAATAATGTATGTGGCATGGGGCAATTGAAAAGTCGTTCGATTCTTCAATTTATTATTAGGTGCCTGTTAGTGTTACCTGGGGACCCCAGGCTATCATGTTCATAAATAGAGATTCGGCGGAATAAATAGAGATTTGGCGGAATCAATAGAGATTCGGCGGAATCAATAGAGATTCAGCGGAATTTGACAGGCTGAGCGCCGCCCAGTAACTGTAAGGTGCCTGGTGCATTTTCAATAAGTAATATCAGTATCACCAGATCCCAGTTCAATTTGTTACGGAGTATTATATTAACAGAAAGCGATATATTTGACTCGTAGTCCGATAGTTTCACTGCATCCTTATATAGTAATTATACTTTACCGGACTTTATTTAAACGGACAATAATTGGACGCTGGATCGAGGCCCTATAGCATTTATTTTAATTTTCGTTCTAATAAAGTCTGTCCGTTTACGATCTGTCAAAAATGGATTTTGGACTCCAAGTCGAAAACCATTGAAATTCTTTCCCAAAAAAGTATTTCAACTTATTGTCCAAAAAATGCCCAAAACGATGCTCAAAAAGATGACAAAATTTCAGATTTTTAATAATTTTGAATGCCTGTCACGTTGGGTGCCCAGGTAACACTGTAACAGCCAGGTAACAAGTAAAGATAAAAGCAAGGTCCAGATACAAGAAAAGTACAAGGTTGTTCTCTTACTGAAACTAATTATAACGATAAAAAGTCATCACACTCTGCTAGCATGTTTTGCCGCGTGTTGTGCCACATGCTTGTGCTGATATAATTTTATATGAAGCAACGCATAACCAGACGCGCAACACAATCAGCTTATTTTTAAACCAACCACTGGGATCCAGTGAATGGACAATAATTTTTGTCAAGACGATTTCATTTTTCAATGGTCCCACATAATGATAGTGAAAGAGAGAGAGTGAACCCCGCCCCATCCCCCCCCCTCCCACAGTGTTACTAAGCGCTACTAGAGTACTAAGTGAAATCCCGTGATTATTGAAACGTAAATTTAAAAGCACTATCAATAACAATCCGTTATCTTAATAATTACTCCGTTTTGAGAAGGACATACAAACAGTTCAAGTAATTTTAAACAGGATATTTTTCTAATGTGATAGATACAACATTTCACATGTATTGAGCTATAAAATCGCAAAAAATATCAGTACCAAGCAAATATAGACACTGTCTTCAGAGTGCTAGAGAAATTTGCTATTTGAGACAAATTATGTAAAATCATCACATTATACACTCAAACAATAATAAGAGCACACAAGATTTTAATGTACAAAATCAAGTACCAAATGATCAAAAAACAAACGAAATGCAATCTCGAAACAAGCACTTTAACAGCTAGTGGACCCATATTATTTAGTAGAACTAACTTCTCAATCATTGCTAAACAGTGTAGCTTATGTGAACACGTGACATTGCATAAACACATGACATTGCATTAAACTTCACAATCATTTCAATTTCGAATATCAAATCACAAACGTTAAAGTCTCATCTCAGACGTCAAACCTGAATTTTACAAGCTACAAGTAAAATGTTCGTTCACAAATTAAATCCTTTAAAATGAATCCGGGTAACACACATATTCCTGACTCATCACTTTCTAGTCACTCAAGTGTGTAGTATTACTAGTCAAACGTTTCATAAGAATTTAAGAGAAAGGATAACAAGCCATGTTAATTGTCTATCGCATTTATTAAAGTTTTTATTATCTTTTCAGTGAATTACTTCAAGGTAAACGTCACCATGATATGTTTCGATATTGTTCACTAGTTTACCTCTCAAACTAGGCCCATGTACGCAGTACCAATATATAAGTAGTATAACTAAACATGGTGTTCTCCAATATTTAAAGGGTGACATGTGCTCAACAATAACCCCATCTTGAAGAAAAATTAATATGCTAAATGAACAGGTTCTTAATTCAGTTTCGCCCTGAAATTTATAGAACAGCCTCAGGAGCACCATAGCACTTTACTTGCAAATTAATAGCGTTAAATCTGAGGCAAGTTATTAGCAAATGTTACAAAACAACAATCCATTAGATTTTTGGATACAAATAACGTCACCAATTTGGACATGTTCACCAAATTAGTCTTCGTTGAATGTACTACCTAAGACAGTATACTAGAGAATATTACCATCCAACAGTCAAACATCTGAATCTGAAAGGTAATACATTATTGGCTGTTTCACAAAAAATTCATTTAATTAAGTTATTATCATGATGATAACAAGAAACAACAGTATTCGTAGTTCAAAGAAAGAAACACTCCTGAAAACTAGGATTCTCACCTCTAGCTCGCTGTTGGAGGTGATCTCTTGAGGGACGTCTCCTGTTTGGAGGAGGCGCCGGCTTTGTAAATCTCGATGTCTGCAATGAAATAATATATATTTAATGATGGGTCAGTTACTGCAGAAGTCAGCAGTTAGATTTTAGAAAGGGTTCGTCCATTGGAGTGTGATGAGCAGTCGTAAGTTTAATTCGATTAAAAACACGTGAACGCGTTAAAACACACGCGTGCTGCGCGCAGTTTATAACTTGTAGATTAGTCGCGCCCTACAAACATTTATAATAATTGACTTACGACGTCCCATTGTCATTCAAATATTTCATTATTATCATTAAGATTACTCTTGCGTTCAGGACAATGCACTTATCAGATTTGCCTTGCAACGAATGACATTATATCAATAAATCCTCCCTTGCTGCTTGTAAGCTACTAATTATTTAACAATACTGGTTCATGATATACACTAGATACTATACGATATATATATACTGAGATGAACCCTACGGAGACTACAAAATAGTAAAATAAGTGTGTGCTTTCTTTAGAGCTTGGCTTAAGTGAGCCAATCATGGGTTAAATCAGACTAAATGTTATAATAATACATAACATTAGCACAAACTTTAAGATGTATTGCAATATGGTTGAAATATGGGGGGCGGGGAGGCAACTTAACCTAAATGTAACTATGTAATTACAAAAGAAGAAGATTAGGTAGGCTAGGATTATAAATTGCACCGATTCCAGTAATTACTTATCACACTCCATCGATTGATCATAATAAAACTTCTTCAACAATCCTAAATCAGAAAACTTTAGCTGCTAGAGTGCCAAGTAGTAACTAGTATACATATTTACAGTATAGCTGTTAACTGTTATCACTTCTCAAGCTTTAATTCCCTAGAGAGTTGTTCAAAGCGCACTTTACAATTGTTCAGCTGAGAAATTGGTATGTGCTGTGTGAATATACAATATACGTGAATTAAAACGCTTGTGCATGAAAATAGCTGACCATTTCGCAATGTTATTATGAATAGTGAGAATGTTCAGGTCATTAAACGACTTCTTGGTACCACTGGGAAGCATTCCATCTTCGTAAAAATGGCCTCTATGCTTGATGTGGAGGCGTAACGTTGCATTTTGCTACACAGTACTGCAGTTAAGTTTTTCATCGAGATGATTTTTTTCATCGTGATGATTTGTCACCCCACCAGTTGAAAGTGAAAGTCGGCTGCCCAGTTAATGTTATGCTTCTACGGAACAAGGTCATTGCAACGGCACCAAGTATATCGTTACTGTCTTGCATAATAACCCTGGAAACATGACATAAAAGATTCGGTTTTACTTCTTTGAATGAAAAGCACTAATATTTAGTGATCTACTGTGGCTGTTTCTGCGCCCTGCTTGGTCAATGATAGCTTAGCTATCTTTTTTCTACATGAAGTCGGAACAATCTTTTGATGATCATCAGAGTAATGATCCAGAATCTCTTGAAACTTTTACAAATCTATTACATTTATTGAGAAAATTATGTAATGTAATGCGATGGAAGTTCTTTAAGCTGGCAATTCCAGTCCAAACCCTGGAAACATGACATAAAAGATTCGGTTTTACTTCTTTGAATGAAAAGCACTAATAATAGAAGCCGTGGTTGTCGGAGGGTCTTACAAGGGTAACAAGCTATTCATCCCACGCATCCCTATCAAACCAACTAATGGGACCTTTCCATTTCATATGACTCGCGGACAATTCCCTTTAAGACCCGTTTTGCGATCACGCCCAACAAGGCCCAAGGACAAACTTTGAAAAAGGTTGGCATCTTCTTGGACCGGCCATTCTTTTCTCATGGCCAATTCTATGTGGCGCAAAGCAGGGTTGAGGAAAAGGACGCCCACAGAGTTTTGTCGTTGGACATTGGGAGAACTGACAATGTTGTCTATCCAGAGGTTTTGGACAAATAATGTTGTAACAGAGATTTCGTTTTTTATGAATTTGATTTGGATTGATTGTTATTTGAAATAAATTTGTTTTGGATTTTTATTTGAAATTTCAACATTTGGAAATTCTGTCTTTAAATTTGACCCAAAAAAATCAGAAAATGAAAACGTGGTATCAGTAAAATTATGTAAAAGTAAAGAATTATTGTCGTCCGGAGGACGGGTACCCTGCTAGTATATATTATAATATGCCAACCCCAGCTTACTTCATGGTCTTGTAAAGGGTTAGGGTTAGGGTAAGGGTTAGGGTTAGGGTTAAGGTTAAGGTTAGGGTTAGGGTTAGGTTAGGGTTAGGGTTAGGGTTAGGGTTAGGGTTAGGGTTAGGGTTAGGGTTAGGGTTAGGGTTAGGGTTAGGGTTAGGGTTAGGGTTAGGGTTAGGGTTAGGGTTAATTGTATTAAATTATATTGTCGGGGGGTCGATTGTCGGGGGGGGGGGGGGTGAATTGTCGGGGGGTGAATTGTCGGGGGGGTCAATTGTCGCCCACCCCTTCGCATTACAGTTGCCTAGGGTACAGTTGCTTTTTTGTGTAATTTCGCCGAACTGTTCATCTCAAGTAAACTTACTTATACTCGCCGAGATGAGAATGTTACAGACTTAATACCCAGAAATTGAAATGTGTTACAACTGTACAACATCATATACATATAATGACCTAAATACATACAACAGAACCGGAAATGCATACATTAATGTTAGGCCACTGAATTGAAGATCGTAGTGCTTTAGTATTGTGATTACTAAGTTGGTTACCAGGGTGGTTACCAGAGTGGTTACCAGAGTGGTTACCAGGGTGGTTACCAGAGTAGTTACTAGGGTGGTTAGTAGGCAGGTTACGAGGGTGGTTACCAGGGTGGTTACTAGGCAGGTTACCAGGGTGGTTACCAGGGTGGTTACCAGGGTGGTTACCAGGGTGGTTACTAGGCAGGTTACCGGGGTGGTTACCAGGGTGGTTACCAGAGTGGTTACCAGAGTGGTTACCAGAGTGGTTACCAGAGTGATTACCAGAGTGATTACCAGAGTGGTTACCAGTGCAGAGTGGTTACCAGAGTGGTTACCAGAGTGGTTACTAGAGTGGTTACCAGAGTGGTTACCAGAGTGGTTACCAGAGTGGTTACCAGAGTGGTTACCAGAGTGGTTACTAGAGTGGTTACCAGAGTGGTTACCATAGTGATTACCAGAGTGATTACCAGAGTGGTTACCAGAGTTAGTTACTACAGTGAATTACAGACAAGGGAGCCAGTGAATGTGTATTACAGACAGGGGAGCCAGTGAATGTGTATTACAGATAGTGGAGCCAGTGAATGTGTATTACAGACAGGGGAGCCAGTGAATGTGTATTACAGAAAGGGGAGCCAGTGAATGTGTATTACAGACAGGGGAGCCAGTGAATGTGTATTACAGACAGGGGAGCCAGTGAATGTGTATTACAGATAGTGGAGCCAGTGAATGTGTATTACAGACAGGGGAGCCAGTGAATGTGTATTACAGAAAGGGGAGCCAGTGAATGTGTATTACAGACAGGGGAGCCAGTGAATGTGTATTACAGACAAGGGAGCCAGTGAATGTGTATTACAGACAGGGGAGCCAGTGAATGTGTATTACAGACAGGGGAGCCAGTGAATGTGTATTACAGACAGGGGAGCCAGTGAATGTGTATTACAGACAGGGGAGCCAGTGAATGTGTATTACAGACAGGGCCAGGGGAGCCAGTGAATGTGTATTACAGACAGAGGAGCCAGTGAATGTGTATTACAGACAGGGGAGCCAGTGAATGTGTATTACAGACAGGGGAGCCAGTGAATGTGTATAACAGACAGGGGAGCCAGTGAATGTGTATTACAGATAGGGGAGCCAGTGAATGTGTATTACAGACAGGGGATTCAGTGAATGTGTATTACAGACTGGCGAAATATTGAAAGGTCCGCCGTCTAAGAGAATGAACGATTTCAAATTCGAAAAATAAAGAATTTGAAAATGACTTATACTTTATCATGGTTAAAATGTACACTAATCCAGCTAGCGAATAATAATACTGTGACCACTGCAACATAAAGCATGATTGAGCGGGGGCAGCCTTGTTGGCGCCAGTCTCGTGCAAGCAAACAAACAGCGGCATTATTCCTCTATATTATATATTATACACAGTATACACTATAATTTATATTATATATTGTACTAAGCGTAACAAAGTAAACGATGTTATTGCCCAACTAAAAGTTTCATGTGGATGTGTGAACATGCAACAATCTTCAGGGACATAAATACAATTAAAATAGCAAACATTATACAACACAGTGCTCCTTTATCAAATTTATTTACAGAAATTTCCTAAAACCTATAACTAACAATTACAAACTATTCCTAAAACCTATAACTAACAATTACTAACAATTCCTAACAATTCCTAAAACCTACAACTAACAATTTCTAACTAAAAATGTCCTAGAATGTCTACATTTTGAGATGATCTCAGATCTTTTATTTAATGAGTCTGGATTCTTTAGGACGTGCAGCTTCTCGTCTAGGCAGAGGCCACAGTGCCCCGCCCGCGCCCCTGCCGTATAACAATTTGATTTAGTGATGATTTTCCAGTCTATACTATATATATACAGGGTGGGCCAAAAGTCAGTACCCATACGTTGGCCTTTATAGCTCAGTCACTGAGTGCCCAATTTAAATACTTCCTTCTGGTATGACTTAGTACCACCACTGGTTCGAGGAATTTGTCAACTCGAAAAATATTCGTGTACATAATCAATGTTTTTCTCCTTGAGGTCCCATATTGCTTTTGATAGTTCGGTACTCAATCGGTACTTAGGGTTTTTGAAGCTTTGGCGATGATTGTATTATATTCCTCTGTCACAAGGATGGAAGTGTGTGCTACCAGCCTTATTACAATGTTAACCATTAACCAACTGTACAAGAGAGAGAGAATATTAAACTGCAACAATTTTAGATATTTCTATTAAAGATCATAGTACGATGTGTTTTATTATTTAGACTATGTGAAGCACCCAAATCAGAATTTTACTATTGATTTGTCATAATTGTTAGATAGATGGAGTGATAGAATGATAGAATAATAAAAAGAAGTGATAGAATGATAGAATAATAAAAAGATGGATTAATAAATTAATAGAATAGAAAAGATTCCATTAAGCTAACATTCTATCGGTTAGTCGTCCTATGATAACTAGATATCCTCCCCCCCCCCCCCCCTATAATAACTTTAGGGGGCTGTACATTAAAAGTACAGAGAGCTTCTATAAATTACAAAGATTGCTCCTTCACAAAGATTGTCGTTTCTATAAAAATATTAGAAGCTCAGTAGGACCATATAAGGAATAATAGATTATATTTACATGTATTTTCGTATCGGAAAGAATGCGGCATGCATCTCATTAAGTGTTTTAGTATGAAGTAAATACTGAAGTACATAATAATATAGTATATTACACTGAAGTAATTGTTTACTGTACACGTGGTATGATAACTTTGTTAAATAAAAGTTATACTGGTCATATTATACTGGTTATACTGGTTATACTGGTCATGTGAGGGAGAGATAGCACCGACAGGCAGATGAGAGTGCTGTATCCTTCTTCCCAGAGTAGATGTAGTCTGAGTCTAGTAGCTGGTGACTGGAGAAGGTAGGCATGTTGATAAAATGCGATAGTATTGTCTTTTACTTTTCAGTTTATATGCACCTAAGATACAGGCCACGTATTTACACCTGATCGTATCAGCTACTGAGGCAACTCCTTTTCATGCATGCCTTCGGCACGCAAGTGTCACGTCATTTGATAGGAGAGCGACCCCCATCAGCAATACAAGAGCTCTCGTCTCTTATGTGATCTACGAGTCCAGCAGAGAAATCTTAGAGATCATGTTCACTTCTTAAGGGGACATACACCAAAACAGTGGTTTGTGCCGTCCAGACCAAATGACCTCATAGGCAGTTTAGTGACCTTCTAGCGCACCGTTTCCACACCAACAAAAATTATTTTGAGAATACCTATTTTTGTAATCGAGCATTTCCTGGTTAGAGTGGAATTTTCGGAAAAACACAATATGTTTTGTGGAGAGGCTATAATTTAAGTTAATCATTTCTTGCGGTATCGGGTTGAAATTTTGCTCGCTGTTTATTCAAATCTATTTCAAGGTGTGTGTAAAATCTTGATATCATATCTAAAAAGGCTGGTGTGCTATAGATTTTTAAAGTTTAAAAAAGTCAAAAAGCTGAAATTGTCCTTTTCAGACTTATTTTAACCAAAAAGTCAGTCAGGGAAGATCGGATTCATTTGATGCTGGACATAAAATTGTTCTCTGAATTCTGGCGCAGTTTTTGATGCCTTCAAAAATGGTTTGACTCATTTATCTTCAGATCTATTGGACTTCAAAGCCAAACAACAAATTTAGGCACATTTTTCGTTTTTCATATTTACTGATTTTTCTAAAATTTTGATATGAATGTGCTAGTGACTTTTTGAAGGGCGCAAAATAACCGCAACTAGCACATTTATATATGAGTTATGAACAACAAAACACCCTAAAATGCTTCCCTTTGAAGTTATGGGAGAAATTGTGATTTTTAATCTGCAAAGCCAAAAAATCACAATTTTATGTCCAGCATCACCTTTTTAGATATGATATCTAGATTTTACACACACCTTGAAATAGATTTGAATAAACAGCGAGCAAAATTTCAACCCGATACCGCTAGAAATGATTAACTTATAGCCTCTCCACAAAACATATTGTGTTTTTCCGAAAATTCCACTCTAACCAGGAAATGCTCGATTACAAAAATAGGTATTCTCAAAATATATTTTGTTGGTGTGGAAACGGTCACTGAACTGCCTATGAGGTCATTTGGTCTGGACAGATTTGGTGTATGCCCGGCCCCCTTAATGTACAGTTATGTTATACAGAGTTGTCATGTGAACTCTACCCTAGATCTAGCCCATTTTTCTAGGCCAATTAAATTCTACTGATAGATCTAGACTAATTAATAGTCACTGATTGGTGACATAATCTGATCACTACACCGTGGGATCCGTGATATCAGAGGGACTCCCGCAGCCCCGCCCCTTGCCCCAGTACACAGCCCTGTCAGTAAGTGAGTAAGCAGGACCCCCAGTACACAGCCCTGTCAGTAAGTGAGTAAGCAGGACCCCCACTCCCCAGTACACGGCCCTGTCAGTAAGTGAGTAAGCAGGACCCCCAGTACACGGCCCTGTCAGTAAGTGAGTAAGCAGGACCCCACTACACAGCCCTGTCAGTAAGTGAGTAAGCAGGACCCCCAGTACACAGCCCTGTCAGTAAGTGAGTAAGCAGGACCCCCAGTACACGGCCCTGTCAGTAAGTGAGTAAGCAGGACCCCCACTACACAGCCCTGTCAGTAAGTGAGTAAGCAGGACCCCCAGTACACGGCCCTGTCAGTAAGTGAGTAAGCAGGACCCCCAGTACACAGCCCTGCCAGTAAGTGAGTAAGCAGGACCCCCAGTACACGGCCCTGTCAGTAAGTGAGTAAGCAGGACCCCCAGTACACAGCCCTGTCAGTAAGTGAGTAAGCAGGACCCCCAGTACACGGCCCTGTCAGTAAGTGAGTAAGCAGGACCCCCAGTACACGGCCCTGTCAGTAAGTGAGTAAGCAGGACCCCAAGTACACGGCCCTGTCAGTAAGTGAGTAAGCAGGACCCCCAGTACACAGCCCTGTCAGTAAGTGAGTAAGCAGGACCCCCAGTACACAGCCCTGTCAGTAAGTGAGTAAGCAGGACCCCCAGTACACAGCCCTGTCAGTAAGTGAGTAAGCAGGACCCCCAGTACACAGCCCTGTCAGTAAGTGAGTAAGCAGGACCCCCAGTGCAGTACACAGCCCTGTCAGTAAGTGAGTAAGCAGGACCCCCAGTACACGGCCCTGTCAGTAAGTGAGTAAGCAGGACCCCCAGTACACGGCCCTGTCAGTAAGTGAGTAAGCAGGACCCCCAGTACACAGCCCTGTCAGTAAGTGAGTAAGCAGGACCCCCAGTACACAGCCCTGTCAGTAAGTGAGTAAGCAGGACCCCCAGTACACGGCCCTGTCAGTAAGTGAGTAAGCAGGACCCCCAGTACACGGCCCTGTCAGTAAGTGAGTAAGCAGGACCCCAAGTACACGGCCCTGTCAGTAAGTGAGTAAGCAGGACCCCCAGTACACGGCCCTGTCAGTAAGTGAGTAAGCAGGACCCCCAGTACACAGCCCTGTCAGTAAGTGAGTAAGCAGGACCCCCATACACGGCCCTGTCAGTAAGTGAGTAAGCAGGACCCCCATACACGGCCCTGTCAGTAAGTGAGTAAGCAGGACCCCAGTACACGGCCCTGTCAGTAAGTGAGTAAGCAGGACCCCCACTACACAGCCCTGTCAGTAAGTGAGTAAGCAGGACCCCCAGTACACGGCCCTGTCAGTAAGTGAGTAAGCAGGACCCCCAGTACACGGCCCTGTCAGTAAGTGAGTAAGCAGGACCCCCAGTACACAGCCCTGTCAGTAAATATATAGTAATACAGTAAGGGTAAGTATTATCTGTGTGCTGTTTACGTGTCACCCCCCCCCCCCCCCCTGAGCTGTACTGTTTACTAGCATTAAATTACAGCTCCTTATCGCTAAAACAGTTCGGGTATTTTAATGCAAACCTAATATGGTTATTTATGGTTATTAGATTACATGCTATTACATGACAAGGAGACCTGTGTATTTACATGGCGGTAAATGTAGTAATGGTTTGTGTCATAATGGAGTTACATCAATTTTATAGGCTTGGTCTTTAGAAGTTTAAATAACATGCCTTATTTACTATTTATTATTATCTAAATAACTTATTATACTTATATTGTAAACTTATTATATTAACAAAAACTACCTTTTCGGCTATTTTTGTCGTAATGTGCATACTGTGTATATTAATTAGTGTAATCTATATATAGCTAATCTTTAGTATAGTGAAATATACATCTGGCTGATCTTTTCTCCAATTTAGATCGAGCAATAATATGCGCTAATGACACGCTCAATAGAACACGATTACATGCTGTGACCAGTGACTGTTAATCAGCACTAATCTAGTGCTAACCAGTACTTGCTCAATTTCTCATTTAATAGAAGTTCTAAAGGAGGGATCTAGTTAAAAAAACAAGTTAAAGTCTAATTTTTCCCTTAAACAAATAACTAAATATCAACATTTCATTGTAGTTTCTGCCAATATCTCTTATTATCATAAGCTAAATTACGGAGATGATACAGATAAATTAATACTAACCTAGTACTAATGGCTGTTAAAACAATGATCATATTTTACCAATCATACTCCAAATAGTATAATGTATACATTACACACATGGTATACATTACACAGTGTATAGATTACACAGGTGACAGGATTGGATAACTTAATTGTAAATATATTATATATAAAGCTATCCTGTTACACTGTTTTACCCATTTAATGGTTATATAAGTGATAAATGATAATATTATAGATGATTCGTGTACTTAAATGCGCATGCATTATAGTGTATTAAAATGAATAAATAGCACAGCTGCAGAATCTCATCATTCGATACCGATTCCTACACATCTTGCCGCTGTAGAGTCTCACGAGTCCGGACCCCCATCCCCAGTACCACCCTCTCCCTCACCAAGTACTACCCCTCCCCCTCCCCAGTACCACCCTCCCCCTCACCAAGTACTACCCCTCCCCCTCACCAAGTACTACCACTCCCCCTCCCCAGTACCACCCTCCCCCTCACCAAGTACTACCCCTCCCCATCCCCAGTACCACCCTCCCCCTCACCAAGTACTACCCCTCCCCCTCCCCAAGTACCACCCCTCCCCCTCCCCAGTACCACCCTCCCCCTCACCAAGTACTACCCCTCCCCCTCCCCAGTACCACCCCTCCCCCTCACCAAGTACTACCCCTCCCCCTCACCAAGTACCACCCCTCCCCCTCCCCAGTACCACCCTCCCCCTCACCAAGTACTACCCCTCCCCCTCCCCAGTACCACCCCTCCCCCTCACCAAGTACTACCCCTCCCCCTCACCAAGTACTACCCCTCTCCCTCCCCAGTACCACCCTCCCCCTCCCCAGTACCACCCTCCCCCTCACCAAGTACTACCCCTCCCCCTCACCAAGTACTACCCCTCCCCTCACCAAGTACTACCCCTCGCCCTCACCAAGTACTCCCCCTCTCCCTCCCCAGTACCACCCTCCCCCTCCCCAGTACCACCCTCCCCCTCACCAAGTACTACCCCTCTCCCTCCTCAAGTACTATCCCTCCCCTTCGGCCTTCCCCCAGTACTACCCCATCCCCTTAATTGCGGTTGCTTCTAATATTATATATATAATATATATATATAATATTCGAATATCGAATTATTCGTTTTGCAAAGAGATATATATTGATCGTACTACTACTAGTGGGTGTCCATATTGGAGCACCATATGTGAAAATCCCCCAGTATTACTTACTGTGACGGGTATATTGTCGTCTCGCTCAGCTGGTTCTCGAATCTTCTTTAACGATTGTGAAAATAGGGCCGGCTGAAAATATTTTATTAATAATAATCATATGCATATTGTAGCAGAAGTCAGCATTTACCCTAGTAGGGTCGGGCCTTCCTTTTTGCCCCCTCCCCCCGCGCCACCCGAGAGCATTTTTTGTACACTAAATATTTTTTCGCGTCGACCGAACGTTAACTTTAAAGCAGATTATGTAGGCTTATTACAATATTATAATTATCAATAAATTACTCTACTACATGTCGATTTGTAACATTAATTCTAAATCATTGTAGTTATTATTGAAGCTACTATTGAAGGAGTGATGCCTATAACATATAGTATTTTACAATATGATATCATACTCTAATAGCTCGGATGACAGTGACTGTGATCTCGTAAGGTTTAGTAAGTGTTTATATATTATATAGTGTTTATATTCCGTTATCTCAATAAACATTCCCGGATACCATACGATTAGAATGTACCTCTCCCCCTTCAATGTACTGTATGAGTAGATAACATTAAACCATTAAGTCACAACATGTTATCAAATGGCGTACTGTGTAAATACCGTGTAAATACCGTGCTAACTGTTAGACTTTATGGCGCGATCTGTCAACGAGACATTATATTCATAACCCCCTCCTCCCTTAAACTCCCCTCCTCCCTTAAACTCCCCTCCTCCCTTAAACTCCCCTCCCCCTCCTCCCTTAAACTCCCCTCCTCCCTTAAACTCCCCTACCCCTCCTCCCTCAAACTCCCTTCCCCTCCTCCCTTAAACTCCCTTCCCCTCCTCCCTTAAACTCCCCTCCTCCCTTAAACTCCCCTACCCCTCCTCCCTTAAACTCCCCTCCTCCCCTACCCCTCCTCCCTTAAACTCCCTTCCCCTCCTCCCTTAAACTCCCTTCCCCTCCTCCCTTAAACTCCCCTCCTCCCTTAAACTCCCCTCCTCCTCCTCCCTTAAACTCCCCTCCTCCCTTAAACTCCCCTCCAAACTCCCTTCCCCTCCTCTCTTAAACTCCCTTCCCCTCCTCCCTTAAACTCCCCTCCTCCCTTAAACTCCCCTACCCCTCCTCCCTTAAACTCCCCCCTCCTCCCTTAAACTCCCCTCCTCCCTTAAACTCCCCTACCCCTCCTCCCTTAAACTCCCCCCTCCTCCCTTAAACTCCCCTCCTCCCCTACCCCTCCTCCCTTAAACTCCCTTCCCCTCCTCCCTTAAACTCCCTTCCCCTCCTCCCTTAAACTCCCCTACCCCTCCTCCCTTAAACTCCCTTCCCCTCCTCCCTTAAACTCCCCTCCTCCCTTAAACTCCCCTCCCCCTCCTCCCTTAAACTCCCCTCCTCCCTTAAACTCCCCTCCCCCTCCTCCCTTAAACTCCCCTCCCCCTTCTCCCTTAAACTCCCCTACCCCTCCTCCCTTAAACTCCCTTCCCCTCCTCCCTTAAACTCCCCTCCTCCCTTAAACTCCCCTCCCCCTCCTCCCTTAAACTCCCCTCCCCCTCCTCCCTTAAACTCCCCTCCCCCTTCTCCCTTAAACTCCCCTACCCCTCCTCCCTTAAACTCCCTTCCCCTCCTCCCTTAAACTCCCCTCCTCCCTTAAACTCCCCTCCCCCTCCTCCCTTAAACTCCCCTCCTCCCTTAAACTCCCCTCCCCCTTCTCCCTTAAACTCCCCCCTCCCCCTCCTCCCTTAAACTCCCCTACCCCTCCTCCCTTAAACTCCCTTCCCCTCCTTCCTTAAACTCCCCTCCTCCCTTAAACTCCCCTCCCCCTCCTCCCTTAAACTCCCCTCCTCCCTTAAACTCCCCTCCCCCTTCTCCCTTAAACTCCCCCCTCCCCCTCCTCCCTTAAACTCCCCTTCCCCTCCTCCCTTAAACTCCCTTCCCCTCCTCCCTTAAACTCCCCTCCTCCCTTAAACTCCCCTCCCCCTCCTCCCTTAAACTCCCCTCCTCCCTTAAACTCCCCTCCCCCTCCTCCCTTAAACTCCCCTCCCCCTTCTCCCTTAAACTCCCCTACCCCTCCTCCCTTAAACTCCCTTCCCCTCCTCCCTTAAACTCCCCTCCTCCCTTAAACTCCCCTCCCCCTCCTCCCTTAAACTCCCCTCCTCCCTTAAACTCCCCTCCCCCTCCTCCCTTAAACTCCCCTGCCCATCCTCCCTTAAACTCCCCTCCTCCCTTAAACTCCCCTACCCCTCCTCCCTTAAACTCCCTTCCCCTCCCCCCTTAAACTCCCCTCCTCCCTTAAACTCCCCTCCCCCTCCTCCCTTAAACTCCCCCCTCCCCCTCGCCCTCCTCTCTTAAACTCCCCTCCTCCCTTAAACTCCCCCCTCCCCCTCCTCCCTTAAACTCCCCTCCCCCTACTCAGGCCCCATGTAGCCTCCAGGCTCGACAAACCCCGACAAACCCCGACATATCCCGACAAACCCTGATAAACCCCGACTTGTCGAGATATGTCGTATCATGTCGTATCATGTCGGGCCCACCGGCTACATGAGGCTAGCTGAGCCATCTCGGCCTCTGAGCCTAATCACTTTTCATCCATTATTAACGAATCCCGACAAACTCCGACACACCCCGACAAACCCCGACAAACCCTGACAAACCCCGACAAACCCCGACAAATCCCGACAAACCCCGACGTGTCGAGATATGTCGTATCATGTCGGGCCCACCGGATACATGAGGCCTCTACTCCCTTAAAATCCCTCCCCCTCCTCCCTAAAACTCCCCCTCCTCCCTTAAACTCCCTTCCTCCTCCTCCCTTAAAAAGCCCCCCTCCCCCTCCTCCCTTAAACTCCCCTCCTCCCTTAAACTCCCCTCCCCCTACTCCCTTAAACTCCCCTCCCCCTCCTCCCTTAAACTCCCCTCCTCCCTTAAACTCCCTTCCTCCTCCTCCCTTAAAAAGCCCCCCCCCTCCTCCCTTAAACTCCCCTCCCCCTACTCCCTTAAACTCCCCTCCCCCTACTCCCTTAAACTCCCCTCCCCCTACTCCCTTAAACTCCCCTCCCCCTCCTCCCTTAAACTCCCCTCCTCCCTTAAACTCCCCTCCTCCTACTCCCTTAAACTCCCCTCCCCCTCCTCCCTTAAACTCCCCCTCCCCCTCCTCCCTTAAACTTCCCTCCTCCCTTAAACTCCCCTCCTCCCTTAAACTCCCCCCTCCTCCCCTAAACTCCCCCCCCCTCCCTTTAACTCTCCTACCCTTAAGCATTTAAAAAACCAGCATTATACACTGTATTAGATAATATATAGTTGTATAGTTTAGTTACGCTACTAACCTCCAGACTGGAGGCTCTTGCGCGGATGGGGGGTGCTGTGTTGTGCGCGACACGGTGCTTCTGTCTGCACTCCTCCTCCTTAGCGCGCAGCTGCTCCAGCTCGGTGCCGCACCTCTCACGCAACTCCCGTTCAGACAGCACCTCGCGCTGCAACTGACGCACTTGGAGCTCCGCTTGATCGGCTCGGTCCCGGTGCCTGTCTAACTCCTGTTATATATATTTAACTTTATCTGCACTAACATAATATAGAGTATATAATATTATATAATATTATATAATATTGTTTAGGAAACATAATAATAATAAAACAAATATTGCCTGCTAAAATGATAGTGCTCGCCGTTTGTTTTTATTATACTTAGTACTAGAGTCTCATATACCAGATAGCTGCATTTTATAATGTGTACTTTTGGCTTTATAGTTGCAATATTCAGCAGTATTACAGAGCAGGGCATAGAATAATGCAACACTAATCAAGGAATGTTGAAAGATAATAACCTTATGGAGATTAATGTAAATAAGTTAGGAAGATAATAAATTTATTAAGATTAATGTAAATTATAAGTTTGAAAGATAATAACCTTATCAAGATTAATATAAATAAGTTTGAAAGATACCTCAGTTCCCAAAAATTTGTGTGCCATTACATTGAGCACAATTTATTTGAGCCCGAAAAATTTGGGCAGAAAATTTGAACTCATTTGGGCGACCGAAAATTTGGGCACAAATTCTTCGAAAAATGAACGATTTTCCACTAAAATTTCAGTTAGATATTTGCCTTAGTTCATTATTATTCCTTATTATTCCAGTCATTTTGCTTTCAATTTTAAGCATGTAGGTGGTAGTCTGAGTTGTTTCACATTATGAAATTTACGATCTGCCCAGTAACTACTAAAAAATACAGTGATGATGGCACAGTACAAAATGATAGATATACAATAGTGATATTTAGTCTCTCAATCAGATAGTTTAGTCTACTTACACTCAGCATATCTTATCATACCCCTTTCACATACAATTATCATTATGACGCCTCACCAGATGGTCGAAAGGTTTGGAAGAAAATTAGAAGGTTTACATCATGATCTATCAAACTAAGCGGCACATACGCTTAGCTTTGGGGGAAACAAAGGTGTACATAATTGTGTGTAGCGAACTACTGTAAACCCGGACCAAAGGTCTTGAAGTCTAATTCCAGTTATTTCTATTCATTTAAAATATAAGCCTTTTTACTTGGTCAAGCCATGAATGACAGATTAGAAAACTAAAATTTCAAATATTATTTCACTTGGATTATATATGAAGAAAAAGCCATTTATAGATTTCAGGGCCACAGGCCAAATGCCAAAAGTTTGGTTAGCAAAAAATTTAGCAGACGGAAAAGATTTATGCAATTAATTTGGTCTGCAAAAAATGTGGGCAAGAGGCCCGCTCAAATTTTTGGTCGCCCAAATGTTTGGGAATTAAGGTAATAAACTTATTGAGATTAATATATACAAGTTTGAAAGATAATAACCTTATTAAGATTAGTATAAATAAGTTTGAAAGATAATAACCTTATTAAGATTAATGTGAATGAGCTCCACATCACAGAGCGCTGAACACTTATCTTGTAGTCTGGCTACCTCTGCTCTCAGTGACACCAACTAAGAGAAAACCGTTATTAATTTATTAATACACCTCTTTCTAAAACAGAGTGTTTATTTAAGTGTTATGTTCTAAAATCAATAACACAATTTTGAATTACAAACAAGAGCGGAATGTAATTAATAATTAGTAATAATCAACTAGTCTGATGATTACCTCTTCATCTTTAGATATAGCCTCGTGCCTAGTGGCGTCCACGTCCGACAAAGTCCGTTTTATTTGGCTGAGTTCCAAGTTTTTCTTCGTGTACCCCTCATGTAACTCGTCATTTTCAATCTGGTGAAATTAACTGACTTATATTATATATTAGTAATTTACTAGATCTACAACTTTCTTTGCTCCCGTTTGGCTGAGATATCATTGTGATATTGAAAAAGAAGCTTGTGATGTACTGCGCCAAATCTTTTAATTTGTCAAGTTACGTTACACAACTCCGCGGTAAATGGGATTTTACTGAATTATTATAATTCCTTCTTGTTAGGGGGATGGAGAGAGTGGCCCACAATAGGATAGCATAAAATTGTTTGCCTACCTCTGGGGTGTCCCTACCTGTAGTCGTGATATCTGTGTCTGCAGACTCTGTATCTCCGACAGGTGACTGGAGCGTAACTCTTCCAGTTCCATTTGACTTTCATCAAAATTCTCCTAAAGCAACAAGAAAAGAATTAAAAATATGCAATATTATTTGCATAACATAAACAGCTAACAAACTTCCGAGCCATCCAGATTTTAATAAACATTATTAATTAATTTTAATTAATAAATAATACTAGATATAAATTATTCATCTTTTAAAACCTTAGCAGAGAGAAGTTGTCTTTCTAATTGTGTTATCTGATTATCCTGGCGGTCGCTCTCCACTTTGCTGATCTTATCTTTTAGTCTGTTATTTTCCACTTCCACCATCCTGACACATAATATTTTATATTGAATAATCTACTTCTTAAAAATCTACTTTTTTATAATCTACTACTATATATATATTATGTGAAAGAGTAATATAATCCTGTAAAAATGTTTCACTATATTTAACAGAACACACTGTTTCTATGACTGTGTTAAACCCTACTGCTCCTTTATAATATACCCCAATCGTCGTTGAGTCTGTCTCAGCTGATCCTCTAGCTCCCTCGCCCGCTCTTCGTCTACATCGAATGTTGTGGACAGTCTTCTACTTTCCCTCTGTATGCTCCGATACGCTTTACGCAGACATTCCAGCTCCTGCTCAGCTTCCTCCTTCTCCTAGTAATAATACTACTTATTATTTACTCCTCTTCTAACCCCTCCTTCTCCTAGTAATAATACTACTTATTATTTACTCCTCATCTAACCCCTCTTTCTCCTAGTAATAATACTACTTATTATTTATTCCTCTTCTAACCCCTCCTTCTCCTAGTAATAATACTACTTATTATTTATTCCTCTTCTAACCCCTCTTTCTCCTAGTAATAATACTACTTATTATTTGCTCCTCTTCTAACCCCTCTTTTTCATAGTAATAATACTACATATAACACGAGTAATAAAATATAAACAACATTATTCACAACTGATGCAATGAAGAAGTATTTTAAAAGTATGGGTTATCCTAGCCAGTGTAATTTGACACTACCATCCCTACCATACTGTCATACAATAACGATCATTTATTAGTTGAAGTAGGTATAATATCGCATGAGCTGTATCACAACGTACTCACAAAAAGGATTGCCGTTAAATGGTAATACTATATTATACCTATACTAGATACCTCCTAAATTAAGGGATGGTTCTATATATTATCACGTTCATTGAAGTTGAGGATATTGCCTATTGGTCAATTTTAGTAATCCCATTGAAAGGCATGATGTATGTAACCTTGTCACACTAAGAAATTACAGAAACCCTTGATGGTTAGGATAATCCTCATATTTAATCCTTTAGGAAAACTATGTCTGATATCTCAATCAGGTGATAAAATATATAATATATTATTTATAGTTGTACAATGTACAGGGGGGGGGGGGGGGTAAAAGTCAGTACAATACGTTGGGGATTGTTTCTCAGTCACTGAGTGTCCGAGCGATCGAAATAATTCATTTTGGTATAACTAAATAAATCAATATCGTTTGTCTCTTGCCACCACTTTAGAGTTAGACGGGTTTCTGCTACGTAAAGTTAATTTTCAAGAACTATTGAAACAATTTGATTTTTGATTTATATTGAGGCCTGCCAGCGGCTTTTGCGAAATAGATGTGATTCGAGATTAGGGAAATCAGGAGGACGAGTCCTGGAAATAGTGTTTTCAGTAAAAAAAATAGGGGGGGGGGGGGGGGTGCTCCATAGAACTGAAAGACAGGTAGAACCTGCTCTATGGTTTTAACAGTCATACCAAATTCTTAACTTCTTAAAACTATTTTAAAATCTTTAATAAATTCTTCGAGTAAATCTAACCTCATTCTCATATACTTTTTGAAAGATTTTTTCTTCATTTCAACGCACACACTTTGTGCACCCCAAAATATTTTAAAAACCTCACTTTGAGTTCCAGGGCCTATTTTGGGTGTTATTTGCAGGGGTTACCTGAGTGACGCTCTGTTTATGTTTCTGTTCCCGCTCCACCCTCAGTTCTAGCAGATAGTGTTCGTGCTCCATCGAGTTTATCCTTATTTTTAGCTTACTAACTACTTGCTCTTCTTGCTTTAGTGTCTCCTCCACATCTAGTAACAAGGTTATAGGTAGCCAGGTAGTCACATGAGCCATAACCAGTTACAACTTAAAACAAACAAGGTAAGGATAGTGTTAGCATCCGCAGAATAAACACGTTCATAAAATATCGATAAATTCTCAAAATTACGTTACAATTCTTGACTCACTCTGTTTTTCTTCCTTCAGTTTAGCATTCTTCACTTCCATGTCCGACAGTTTCCTTCGCAGACTCGCTATTTTGTCCAACATCTTGCGGTGTTCTTCTTCTGATTGTTGGGTTTTAGCAAGAGCAGCATTCTGATCTTTTAATGTCCTGAGGGAGAGAGGGAGAGGGAGAGGGAGAGGGAGAGGGAGAGGGAGAGGGAGAGGGAGAGGGAGAGGGAGAGGGAGAGGGAGAGGGAGAGGGAGAGGGAGAGGGAGAGGGAGAGGGAGAGGGAGAGGGAGAGGGAGAGGGAGAGGGAGAGGGAGAGGGAGAGGGAGAGGGAGAGGGAGAGGGAGAGGGAGAGGGAGAGGGAGAGGGAGAGGGAGAGGGAGAGGGAGAGGGAGAGGGAGAGGGAGAGGGAGAGGGAGAGGGAGAGGGAGAGGGAGAGGGAGAGGGAGAGGGAGAGGGAGAGGGAGAGGGAGAGGGAGAGGGAGAGGGAGAGGGAGAGGGAGAGGGAGAGGGAGAGGGAGAGGGAGAGGGAGAGGGAGAGGGAGAGGGAGAGGGAGAGGGAGAGGGAGAGGGAGAGGGAGAGGGAGAGGGAGAGGGAGAGGGAGAGGGAGAGGGAGAGGGAGAGGGAGAGGGAGAGGGAGATTGAAGGGGCAGAAAGACCTGAGGTAATTTCCAGCTTGGAAATTGTTAAGGGAATTTCTATTCCCCTCTCTCCACACTCCAGATTTGTACCCCTGTTTAAGACATTGATTGTGTGATACAAATTAAATCTATTTAGACTAATTGGTGTCTAACACTTTGATGGTCGAAGAATGCTGCGTTGCAAATTATTCAATGATTGCCGCAAATACATACAAATCTTGTTCACTTTGTTCACTTCCTGTTCTGTGTTTACCTTATTTCGTTTTCTAGATTCTGGTTTCTGACTTCAAGATTATGGATTTTGTCATCTTTGGCAATAAGTTGTTTGTTCATTTCAAGTCGAAAGTTGATGTTTTCAATAGGAGATGTGATCGGAAGATTTTGGGGAGTTTTATCTTCCTGGCTAAGTAATTTAATCTGAAAATGATATTGGTAAGACTAATACTGATAAAAAATCAGCCATCTGTTATCCTCTAACTACAAAATATCATTTGAAATTTTTTTTAATCTGATTTAATTGCAAGAAAACTTTTTCAAGGTATCTCACCCTAGTTGGTCTATTTTTAACACTATCAGAATCTGAAGACAATATGGAAGGTGATTCATCAGAGTTCGATCCAGTGTTCCGTCTCGTTGGTGATCTTGGCATGTTTTCATCTCTTTTGATAAATGAGGAACTTAATCTTTTTATCTTCGGAGACAGAATAGTGGGATTGTTGGTGTGAACGCTTGTTATATTTTCCTTGCTAGCTGGGTTGTTGGTGTGAACCTTGCTAGCTTTCTCATGACTCTCCTTGTCGTTGAAGCAGAATTTACACTTTGTAGCTCTCCAGAGTTGAGGAGTGAATTGATTGCAAACAGAGCGTTGAGACATCCTCAAATGGTCAAACACATGTTAGATTTACAGAGTAAAAGTTTTTGGCCATTTTTCTGGAATTACAATTTATTGGTATTTGAAAGGTCCAAAAAATAAATAGCTGAAATATTCAACTCATAGTATATTTTCAATTTTGACTAGAATTTCACTGCAGTCACACCCTGCACAATAAATGTTCCTCACATAGTTGTACTAATAATCATTTTAAATGGTATATGGAAAGCGTTTCAAGTTCTGCATTTTTAAACAAGCAGAACTTGAAACACTCTGCTCGTATTTAGGGTGTCGCTATGGTTTGGTTATACTTGTTGGTCACTTCAAATTTCGCCTATTGCAAAGGGGAGTAGTGCAAAATTCAGCACAGTAAGGCAATATAACACCAGACCGGTCAAACAATATATATATATGTATATATACATTCAATTATAAATCAAGTGTTGCAATTGGCAGAGCACAATCAAATTAAGTGTTGCAATTGGCAGAGCACAATACATTGCTACCAATATTTTAAAACTTTAACAGTCAAATATATACAGTATAATACACACAAGTTTTAAAACACATGATCTACTCCATTGAAGGGGCAGGGATGAGGTGGTATGAGATAGAGGGTCTCATGTTTGGTGTACACCTTCTTTCCTCTGTACCCTGGCCCTTGTAGAGTAACAAAAGTTGCTCTCAACATTGCAAATCTTATCCTTGTCTCACAATTTTTGCTTTGCAACACTGGTTAAATTACAGCATAAATTTAAAACTAAATTACTCAGTTATATATTACATGTTGTATTTGTATTTTAAAATTGTATTTCATTATTATTTAATCAAACGTGATTTCTGAATATCAATCCTTAGACGAGGCTGTGAACCTTTATCAAAATGTCCTTGAACAGGTGCTGGACAAACATGCCCCACTTATTACGAAACGATTTACTGCTGAAAAGTCTGATTTTTGGGATGAAAAATGTCAAATTGCTGTCAGAGAGAGGAGAAGAGCAAAACGAAAAGCCAAAAAGTATCCAGAGAATGATGAGTTTAAAACTACTCATTTTGAAAAGTGTGTTGACGCAGAAATCACCATCAATCGAGCTAGAGATAGCTACTATGATAAACAGCTCAGTTCTTGCAAAGGAGACTCGAAAGGGACATACAAAGTCATAAATAAACTTTTAGATAAAGAATATGGCTCCAACAAACTGCCAAATGGTGAAGATATCGAAGTGGCTGAAAAACTCAAGACTTTCTTCGACAAAAAAGTAAAAACCATTTACTCTAATATTGAGAAGGAAATTCACAACACTTCTCTAAACGGTCAAGGTACCAAAAACTCTACTTCAATAGAGAATGCAAAGTGTAGACTTGATCAGTTTAAGGAAGTCTCATTATCAGAACTTGAAACCTTAATTAAGAGTCTTCCCAATAAATCAAGCGTACTCGATGTAATACCAATGTGGCTCTTCAAGAACTGCTTACCCGAGCTTCTCCCAATCATCCATTACATCGTGAATGAATCACTAAGAGTTGGAAAGTTTCCATCTGCCCTAAAAGAAGCATCTATAAGGCCTGGACTCAAGAAACCTACCTTAGATGTTGATGAGCTGAAAAACTATCGACCGATTAGCAATCTAACCTATCTGTCCAAAATACTAGAAAAAGTAGTTCATTGCCAATTAAATGAATATGCTGATGTCAACAACCTATTTTCCCCATATCAATCAGGCTATAGAAAATTCCATAGTTGTGAAACTGCAGTTACAAAGATACATAATGATATTCTAATGATGATTGATAGCAAATCGAATGTTGTGCTTCTACTCTTAGATCTATCAGCTGCTTTCGACACCATAAACCATAATCTCCTTCTTACGAAACTGAAGAATGCATATGGTATTACAGAACTAGCACTCAGCTGGTTACAATGTTACCTTAATAATCGCACATTCAAGGTTAAAGTTAAAAAAGCCACATCTTCTGAATGCTATCTGGATATTGGTGTACCTCAAGGATCCATTTTAGGACCACTACTGTTCATATTGTATACCAGAGATCTTGAGGAAATTGTCACAAAATATGGTTTCTCGATACATTTGTATGCAGATGACACACAGGTGTACTTTACTTTCGATGTTCACAGTTCTAATCCTGATTTAACAGCTGTGAAAAATTGCTTTCTGGAGATAAAGCAATGGATGACAGTTAACTTCCTAAAACTGAATGATGAAAAAAACAGAGTTCATTGATATAGGACCATATGTCAGCCCAATCCAGTCAATGGATTTAGGAGACCTCTCAATCTGTCCTGTTAGCAAGGCCAAGAACCTGGGATTCCTTTTCGATCACCAAATGAATCTGGACTCTCAAATAAATGCTGTCTCCAAAGTATGTTATTTGAATCAAAGGGACTTATCAAGAATCGGTTCAAAGCTTTCCCATGAACTAAAGGGGGGGGTGTCACGTCCGTCTATGTCCGCCTATGTCCTGTCCTTTTTGGATTCTATGAGACAACGGACGTGTTTTTTGGGACATTGGCGGACACGGACGGACATTGGCGGACACGGACGGACATTGGCGGACACGGACGGACATTGGCGGACTCGGACGGACATTGGCGGACTCGGACGGACATTGGCGGACTCGGGCGGACATTTGCGGACTCGGACGGACATTGGTGGACATTAGCGGACATATAAGAGGTCTAAAGAATAAAGATCTCACAAATATTCCCAATATTTAATTAAATCCAGTCACCAAATCCGGTCGCTAAATCCAGATCTATTTGTGTCGTCAACATATCTTTGAAACAGTTACACAGGGTACACAGTAGGCACAGTACCTATTTAACGAAATATAGGGAATATAACTTATATTAATCACACTAAAGCTATTAATAGCTTTAACTTATTTTATCAAATTATATAGGGACCCAGGAAAAGGCCCCAGGAGGAGGAGGAGGAGGAGGACTGGGGAGGAGGAGGACTGTTGAGGACTGATGAGGAGGACTGAGGACGAGGAGGAGGAGAACTGAGGAAGAGGACTGAAGAGGACTCAGGAAGACCCAGGAGGAGGACCCAGGAGGATGACTCAGGAGGAGGAGGACTCAGGAGGAGGACTGAGGAGGACTGAGAAGGTGGAGGACTGTTGAGTACTGAAGAGTACTGAGGAGGATGGCTGAGGAGGATGGCTGAGGAGGATGACTGAGGAGGATAACTGAGGAGGATGACTGAGTAGGATGACTGAGAGGGAGGAGGAGGATCAGGAAGACCCAGGAGGAGGAGGAGGAGGAGGACCCAGAAGGAGGACCTAGGAGGAGGAGGAGAAGGACTGAGGAGGAGAAGGAGGACCCAGGAGGAGGAGGACCCAGGAGGAGGACCCAGGAAAAGGCCCCAGGAGGAGGAGGAGGAGGACTGGGGAGGAGGAGAACTGTTGAGGACTGATGAGGAGGACTGAGGACGAGGAGGAAGAGTAGGAGAAGGACTGAGGAGGGGAGGAGGAAGAGGACTGGGGAGGATCAGGAAGACCCAGAGGACCCAGGAGGAGGAGGAGGAGGAGGACCCAGGAGGAGGAGGAGGACTGAGGAGGAGGACTGAAGATGACTGAGAAGGAGGAGGACTGAGGAGTACTGAGGAGGATGGCTGAGGAGAATGGCTGGGGAGGATGGCTGAGGAGGATGACTGAGGAGGATGACTGAGAGGGAGGAGGAGGAGGACTCAGGAGGAGGACTCAGAAGGAAGAGGAGGAGGACTCAGGAGGAAGACTCAGGAGGAGGACTTAGGAGAAATGAGAAGGAGGACTGAGGAGAACTGAGGAGGAGGAGGAGGAGGACTGAATAGGAGGAGGAGAAGGAGGGGGACTGGGAGACGACTGGGGAGGAGGAGGACTGATGAGAAGGATGAGGAGGAGGACCCAGGAGGAGGAGGACTGAGGAGGAGGACTGAGGAGGACTGAGGAGGATGGCTGAGGAGGATGACTGAGAGGGAAGAGGAGGAGGAGGAGGAGGAGGAGGACTGAGGAGGACTGAGAAGGAGGAGGAGGAGGAGGAGGACTGAATAGGAGGAGGAGGGGGACTGGGGGAGGACTGAGGAGGAGGATGGAGGACTGAGGAGAAGGATGAGGAGGAGGACTGAGGAGGACTGAGGAGGAAGAGGAGGAGGATGAAGAGGAGAAGGACCCAGGAGGAGGACCCAGGAGGAGGACTCAGGAGGAGGAGGAGGACTAGGGAGGAGGAGGACTGTTGAGGACTGATGAGGAGGACTGAGGACGAGGAGGAGGAGTAGGAAGAGGACTGAGGAGGGGAGGAGGAAGAGGACTGAGGAAGATCAGGAAGACCCAGGGGAGGAGGAGGAAGAGTAGGAGGAGGAAGCATCTAAATGTTATTTCCATTTTTGTCCGTTTTTGTCCGCTCTATTTTTTGTCCGTTTTGAAAATATAAGGTACCAAACGGACAAAAAACATGATCCCCCTATAACAGCAAAAATTTAACATTTTATTTAGCAATTTAGGTGTCCATTAATGTCCGCCTATGTCCGCCTATGTCCGCCTATGTCCGTCTATGTCCGCCTATGTCCGCCTATGTCCGTCTATGTCCGCCTATGTCCGCCTATGTCCGCCTATGTCCTGTCCTTTTTGGATTCTATGAGACAAGCGGACATAGACGGACGTGACACCCCCCCCACTAAAAGTTCAGTTAGTTCACTCCAATATTCAATGAAACAAGAAATTTCAATGAAACAAGAAATTTAATTTTAGCACATTTTACAGAATAAAAAGATGTAAAACAATTCATAAAATATAATGCCCATTTGGTGTATGACTTTTTGTCCTTGACTGCTAGTTTGGTTTTGGAAGGACAGGTAACTAACGGGGCAAGGAATGCGCGTGCCTGAAAGCTTTTGCACACACCGAAACGCTAGTTCAGTTAGGTTTTTAGAGACAGGGCTCATTTTAGGACTAGAAGAAATTTGTTAGTAGACATTAGGGGTTCTGTTTATAGTTGTTACTATAGGTTGCAGTCTTGTTGTGACAAAAAGTCTACACTAAAACATGCTTTAGTTTATATTGTGTGGTTCAAGGATATAAAATGTGGCTTCAAGGTGGATATTAAAGAGCTTGCGAAAAATTATGGCCTTTGTATCAATGGTTATAATAAGCTATAAATATCTTAAACTATACAGTGCTAATTAAAAATTTCTTTATACTTCATTCTCAGATTAGATTTAAAAATTCAAAAAATATACATTTATTTTATTAATACCTTCTCACACATTCTTTACTCACAGGACAAGACTTGGAAAACAGTAGCCTAGAGGAATTTAATTGAGATGTGTGTGAACAGCCAGTTATAATGTTTGGAAAATAATATTTGTGCAGTCAAAATCTTTTACGGTCCAATCAAGCAGGGCGTGGTTATGCTGATTGGCTAATAGCGCACTTTTAAGTTTTCCTCGCAAGCACATTACACTAGTAGTAAAGTCAGTCATTCTGAACTTTGGGGTTAAAATGTTAAAAATTTTGGTTGACCTAGTGTTGTGGTTGTCAGGTGGGTCTACCTGACAGATAAGAAGGCAGGGTTTCCTCGACGAACATGTGTAACCCTCATATAGGGATATTGGAGCACGGAATTTCATTATCTTGTAGAGCTCGAGGTAACTGTGGTATGTATAGAGATTTTGTATAGCTAGAATATTATTATGCTTGAATATCGGTTTGGTGTGTTCTTTTATGAAAAATTTTTGGTCAAGTTTCTGGTGTCCTATAGGCCTAGTACGTGCACAAGTCTTAAACTTATCAAGGTACGCCAGCCTATCACCAAATAGTACTCTGAGACAGTACTTCTGAGCAGTAAATAAGTCAGTCAAAAAGCTCCACTTTTTACCTGTTCGGTTCAGAATCAAGTTCAAAATATCACTTCTGGTCTTCAAGTGTCTTAATAACATAGCCCCTCAGTACTTACAAGGACACATCAATCTAAGGGTAGTACGAAGACAAAGTTCCAGACTAGATGATGACTTTTATTTGTTGAAAGTTCCTCCTGCTCCTCATTTCAGACGAACGGATGCTGCATTTATGTTTTGTGGACCAAAAATTTGGAATGAACTACCCTACTCAGTGAGATCATTATCATCTGTAGAATGTTTTTAAAATGCGCTAAAGACGTTTTATTTCCACATAGCTTTTGATAATATTTCTAATATTTGTCCATAAAGTCTGAACTGATATGAAAGTGCATAATTTTGGAAACTTCATACAAATATTTGTTCATAAAATGTGAACTGATAAAAAGTCCATAATCTTGGTATTTCATCACTAAGTCTCGCTTGAATGACTTAAATGTACATCTTTGTTGGGTATATTTTAATGTCGAAGCGTGTAATAAATGTTAGAATTTATTTATTTATTTATTTAAGTGTTTGATAAGTCAGCCACCCAAATGTTCAGGAATGCACGGAAATTAGTCATTTGAACGGAATTGTCAATGTATGGTGTAAGTCTTATCTTATACAAGACTTACATCATCAAGAGTGTCAAGTATCAACATTTTGAAATTTATTAGTGAATGTTCAAACTTCATGAATCGAAATCAAATCATTTACAATGTATTCAGAATCAATATATTTGTAGGTTTATAACCTACCAGGACGCGCGCCGAGTTGGACTCGTCGACGGTCCTAATATTTGGAAAAAATATTTTACGAGTATCACCCGTTAACAATATATGCACTTATATAAATTACTTGGAATACTTTTTTATTGAGAATAAATAGCTCAAAAACGTTGCTGTATTATTTCTTCGTAAAAAGCAGGATAGCTTGTGTAGCTTTTGTCGAGGTGCCTCAAAAATTATCTTAAACGATTCCCCGTTCAATTTTAGTCGAAACACGTTACGTCATGTCAACTAGTGCAGAATCAAGCAAGTTATAGATCATAAACATAGGTCAAACATAGGTCACAGTTTTAATACTTTCAACACTACTATATAACAAATAATTTGAGTGCTATGTAACCTGGCAGTAACGTTGAAAAGGACTTTGAGGGGGGTCTGTAGTCCCCCCGCATAGTGTGTTTGTGTTTCACTGACTTGTAAACTGAAGACGTAAATAAGTATCGAATTAGATGTGCTTCGGTGGAGCTGGAGATATAACCTGTACCTATTTAAAACACTAAATATTGAGATGCTGGCATTTAAATTAGCTAAATAAATGAAACAAATTAGTGTTAATATCTCACGAAATCGATTTTATTTTGGATTGACGATTTTAATCCATACATTGAGATCGTTGCTCTGCAAATAAAAGCTATATCGGCGAGATGCGCTACTGTGCCTCGCCGATTTGCCATGAATTGACATCATCAATTAAAAGTGCAACCATCCAATTACAGGAAGCCGAAGGATTTGTTTTTAGCCAGTGACGGTTAAGGTAGTGACAGTGTGTACCATACTTTCTTCGCCCGAGACTTTGCTGCAATGTGCAACTCCTCATTTAACCCTAAAGTAAAGTAAAGTAAAAATTATGACATAACATCATCACTAATGTCTACAAAGTATCATCACACTACATGGAAAAATAACTATTTCTCCATCAAATTTAAAGGTAATAATTTATCAAATATTAATCATGAATAAAAACAACATTACAAAAAATTAATTTATTCATACTTCCCAGTGGAGTAAAGATTTATAAAACGTTTCTTTGCTACATAAGGATGGAACCACAGATAATCATTGTGTTTTTCCTTATTACTGATATAACTGGTACCTTCAATTCTTGTTAAAACTTCTTTCGAAACATTCCAAAAATGAAAGTCATTTACAATACATTTAGAAATCATATTCTTTTTAAAACTTTCCAATCCAATTTTAAAACTCAAAACTGTCAAGCAGTTCTTCACCTCCGAAGGGAGTTTGTTCCAATAAGGAACTACCCGCTCTGGAAGAAAAGAACACTGAAGATTCTTGACCTTTGTCACACTCTTACTACATCTATTGGATGAAACCAGATTAAGACCTGATCTGCTTGGTCTGAACAAGTCTGAACCATAATCAGTCAAGCCATTAATAACCTTAAAAGCTTCAATAAGGTCCCCACGTATTCGCCGCTCTGCCAGCGTTGTCAAATTAAGGATTTCCAGTCTACGGCTGTAAGGAAGAGTACCCACCTCATCAATCAGACGGGTAAACCGCCTCTGGACGCTCTCCAGCTCCAAAACAGTCCCCCAACTTCCATGAGCCGCAACTGGATTCCACAATTGGACACAATACTCTAGATGAGGTCTTATCAAAGCTTTATAGATGGCTATCAATACACATTTTTCTCTAATTATCAAATTTCTTACAATCCAGCAAATCATTCGATTTGCCTTGGAAATTCATGCTTTTATCTGTTCATTCCAAAGCAGGGAACTATGGGTAATAACCCCCAAATCTTTTTCCTGATCAGATACTTCAAGTTCTACGCCATTTACTAAATAATTTAAGTTAGGGTTGCTATTAAGATTAATATGAACAACTTTACATTTAGCAGGATTAAACTTCAAAAGCCAAATACTCTCCCAGACTTCCAGTTCTACAATATCTTCAGCAACACTGCTGTGGTTAGCTGCATTACCAATCAACTTGAGGTCATCTGCAAATAATTTAATCTTGTTCTTGACTATATCAGGTAAATCATTAATATAAAGAATAAATAGCAAAGGACCCAATACTGACCCCTGGGGAACACCAGATAACACGTGTTTCACCTCAGACCATTGTCCTTCTACACAAACCCTCATGGTTCTGTCTGTAAGAAAATCTTTAATAACATCTAAAACTTTTCCTTTGACCCCAAACCCCTCCAATTTAGATAAAAGTCTAAAGTGGGGGACAGTGTCAAAGGCCTTACTAAAATCAAAATACAGTAGATCAACAGGATCACCTTCATCTAAAATATCAAGAATATTATCAAATGTCTCTAAAAGATTAGATAAGCAAGATTTGCCCTTAACAAATCCATGCTGATGCTTTGATATTCGTTCTTCTAAAAAATCCAATAAATGTGCCCTCACCAACTTTTCGTACACTTTGCACAAAATACAAGTTAAGGAAACTGGTCTATAGTTTAAAGGATCTGATTTAACACCCTTTTTAAACAATGCTACAACGGATGCTGACTTCCACACCTCAGGAAGAGATCCCGTTTCTGAACACATTTTAAATAATTTAGTGACTGCTTCTACAAAGTTGTCATCATAAGCTAACGATTTTAACTTTGGATGAACACCATCCGGACCTGAACTCTTAAAAATATTAAGCTTTAAAAGTTGCTTCTTAATATCAGCACTGCTAACTTGCAAATCACAGATAAAAAAAAGGGCACTGGAGTGGCTCTCTATGTTTGTGACACTCTTAGTGCCAGAGTAAACGGCAATGTATCCCATATCACTGAACATTTAGAAACTCTTTTTGTGGCCGTAAGTAGTACAACTTCCCCAGTAACAGTTGGTGTAATGTACCGTCCTCCAAGTGGTAATGTCAATGTTGCACTATCTGAACTCTCTGACATCCTTGACAGTCTCCCCAAGTGTAGTTACCTAGCGGGTGATTTTAACATTGATTTACACGATAAGAATAGCACAATCGTACAACGCTATGAAGAAATACTATTAAGTAAAGGATTTTTCCCCCTAATTTCGTTAGCAACACATGAGAAACCAGGCTGCAAAGCATCCTGTATTGATAACATAATAACTAACGACGTAGAGAGTATAGTAGCTTCTGGAATACTGACTGACCGTATATCACACCACTCACCCATCTTCCAAATCTTTGATAGAAACTTGGACTCTAGCAGAATTGACCTGAAATACAAACAGTATTATGATTACAACAAACCGAATGTAAAAGCTTTTTTACAGACTCTGGAACATGATCTCAATAATAATGTTATCGACAATTTTACAACATTTCACGACATATTTAAGGACTGTATAGATAGAACTTGTAAGTTAGAAACCCCTAAATGCTCTAAAAGAACAGCACTGAACAACCCATGGATTACACCAGACCTTGTGGGCAAAATTTCATATCAGCACGAACTTTACGATAAATGGGTAAAGGTCAGAAAAGTTAAATGTAAATTTGGGGAAATTGAAAATAAAGGGGGGACATGCCAATGCCCAATATGTTGCTCAAAACGTGACAAGTATAAAAAATACAGTGACTGCAGGCGGAAGGTCAAAAAAGATCGCCGCAATGCTCAATCTAAGTTCTATGGTGGAAAATTTGCAGAGTTGCACGGAAACAGTAAAAAGACGTGGGAATTAATTAACCAAATACGGGGTAAACGAAAACGACAAACCAAACCTCTATTTACTATCAATAATGAAAAAATTACTAATCGTAGGGTAATAGCTAATGAGTTTAATAAGTACTTTGTCTCCCTAGCTTCTAATCTTAACGAGGCATACAATGAAATCGGCGAACTATTAATTAATGGCATCCCCAGTATCTATGACTACCTACCAAAATCCAACACGACCAGTATTTACATGCATGATTGTACAATCGATGAAGTATGTAAAATAATATCAGAATTGAAAAATGGCAAATCGTCTGATATCCCAATACATGTTGTAAAAGCGTCATCCAGAAATCGCCCCCCTATTATCTGTACTATACAATGAATGTTTGAAGGAGGGAATATTCCCGGACGATTTAAAGATTGGCAGGATCAGTCCCATATACAAGAAAGAAAATGAAGAATTACTTGAAAACTATAGACCAGTCTCTACCTTAGCCGTATTTGGTAAGTTATTCGAGAAAATTATATATAGTAGGCTATACAGCTTTTTCCAGTCACAAAATATGATCTATGAAAATCAGTATGGATTCCGTAAAAATCACTCTACTAGTCATGCCCTGAATTTCTCAGTGAATTATATAGAATCATGCCTTAATAAAAAGCAGCACGTGCTCGGAATATTCATTGATCTAAGCAAAGCATTCGATACCATCTCAGCTGACAAATTACTGAGTAAGCTAGATAATTACGGAATTCGAGGCAATGCCAACAAACTCATTGCTAGTTATCTCTCTAATAGATATCAATACGTCTCGGTCCTAGGAGAAGAGTCTGACAAGCTTCCAGTTCTCTTTGGAGTACCCCAGGGATCTTGTCTTGGTCCGTTACTATTTATTATTTATATCAACGACCTATATAGGGCAACTGAACTAGGCAAGTTCATTCTATTTGCTGACGATACAAATATATTTGTCGCGGATGAATGTAAGATAAAGTTATATGAACGAGCAAACCAAATTCTCAAACTGGTACAACTGTATATGAAATGTAATCTCCTGCATATTAACATTAAGAAATGCTGTTACATTCACTTTAAACCAACGAATAGAAAAAGCAAGGTAGAACATAATGAAGAAGAACACGTACTTACTCTAAACAATGTAGTAATAAAGCAAGTCAAAAAGGTGAAGTTTCTTGGTGTTATTATTGATGATCAGCTTAAATGGGATGCTCATATACGGTCGCTCAACACAAAGCTGAAATGTGAAAGTGGGAAAATTTGTAGAATACGGCACATTATTCCAGAAAAACTCTACAAAGAACTGTACTACACACTATTTGAATCACACTTGCGATTTGGGATATCAGTATGGGGTGGCCTTAGTAACAACAGGCTTGAACCAATATTTATCACTCAGAAGAAATGTGTTAGAATACTATTTGGTAACCGAGAGGCGTACTTAGAAAAGTTTAGAACTTGTGCTAGAACACGAAGTAAAGACAAGCAAAAATTAGGAAGCGACTTCTATGAAAAACAGCACACAAAACCGCTATTTAAGAAAAATGGTTTACTAACCATACACAGTTTGTTCAAACACACATGTTTATTGGAAATGTTCAAAATCAATAAATTAGAATCCCCAGTCCCACTCCTAAATCTATTTAACAGATCATCAAGACGTGCTGATCGATTCATCACTCCAACCCCATCCACCTCCTTCATATATCAATCGACAAAAATGTGGAACGATTGTAGAAACACTGCTAGCAATATCAACTTCTCTACATCAACGAACCTTGTGAAATCCACAATAAAAAAGGAGTTACTCGGCATGCAGTCCAGGTACGACGAAATAGATTGGTGTGAACTGAACTTCGATTCCAACGAACTGAAATTCTAATGTCTACTCAATGAAGATATGCTGAGCGCTAAAGCCGATTGAAATGTTAATGTCTAAAGTATAAAATTTCGGCGGTCACGCCGCGCATTTTGCGCGCTGTGCCGCTATTTTTGGCCCATCTTATCAGATATTATTTACAATGTACTCGCACAGTACATGCAGGGCATGCCTCAAGATCATATTAGTGTAGGAATCATTATGTTTTCAACAATTCATTATATGTCGAATTCAGCAGTGAGTCCTCTCTTCGTCCGGTTTGTGGGTTTGTCGCCTGTCTGGACTCTCGTAGTCATGTAATTTTTAATTTTTAATTTCTAATTTGTTATTTTAATTTTAATTTTAATTTTTCAATTTTCTAAATGTGTGTTCTGCTCCGGGACTCGATTACCGTATCGGCTTTCTTGAGACTGTAAATTTGGAAAGCCAACTATGCGGGGCGCCTGCCCACCGGCACTGAAGAGTGATCAAAGAATTAACTAAAATTTCCTAATATAACGATTGAATATAGAGTTGTTTAACCGGCGCGGCCATGGGTGTGTGGCCTAGCTTTGGCTGCACACCTATGACTGCGCTGTTGCTGGTGGACAGGCGCAGTTTTTGTTGTGCAGTAGTGTTGCAAGAGAATAAAACCAACTTATTATGTACTAAATGGAATCAAGAATATTATTGACTATATTTGATAACGATGAATTGTAAATTTCGATCAATTTATATTTTTCGGTCTCCAATTATTGAACTGCGGAAGCTGGTTGCCTCAACAATGTTGACTATGCATGGTATGACTGAATTATAAAAACGTGATAATTGAACGAAAAATAAATGATGAACATGATTCAAAAACTGTAAACCACCAAATGAATTATCGCTTAAATTTAAATAAGTATTTAAACAAAAACCACCATGTGCCGTTAAGCAGCAGGGCGCGGCTCATCTGGGCCACAGCAAATCGGCGAAAATGGGTTCGAAAAAGCCACTATTGGCACTCGAGTCCTTGATCTTTCCGATGGTTCACTGGGGCTTTTGAGCTGCCGTCCTTCAGCTTCTGTAAACTGAAATTACTACCAATCCAAGTTGAAGCAATCAGCCGACGCGCGGCTTTTATGGTTATATATGATATGTTTAATCTGTAATAAAGATCAAAATTCAAATTTGTTTCTCTCTAAAATTTGTTTCTCCACTAATAACATCTTTATCATAATCCAAAGTGTCATTTTTAGGAAGAGGGCCAGGTGGCTCACACACAAACACTGAGCTGAAGGCACTTGCAAGTACTTCAGCAGACTCAGCAGAACTATCTGTGCGTGTACCATCTCCTCTATCCAGGGAAACCACACTTGATTTTACTTGCCTTTTGTTACGTAAATATGAGTAAAAAGACTTACTATTCTGCTTTAAATTAGATGTAATCTTCTTTTCATAGTTAACTTTAGCTTTAACTTCAGCCACTTCAAAAATATGTTGCTTGCTATTAGCATAACTAAAATTGATTACAGATGGATTTCTATCAAACTCAGCCCATGCTTTGTCCTTATTCTTCCTCATTCTCTTAAGTGAAGTTGTACTCCATGGCAACTTGACAGGCCTGTTGTCGAGATAAACAGAAGCAGCTGGGACAGCAGCGGCAACAGCCTCCAGTTTACCATGTAGTTCAGTCCACATTTCTTGAACATTATAATTTGTAGAACTATAATCCCAGTCAATGTTATCCATACTAAACTTCAATAATTCATCAGACGAAATCTTACCCCAGATAGGTTTTACAGTTTTCTCTTTAGGACTCTTATCAGTATTTGGCGAAACAACCAGTTCGACAAGTATCCCAACGTGATCACTCTTACCAAGCGGTGAAACAATCTTACAACCGTTGACAAGAGCATCATTTGTATACAAGACCTGATCAAGGAGGCTCTCCTGGAGAGTATCTTTCACAAGCCGTCTTCTGGTTGTTTCGTTGGTAAAGTACCACGTTAAACCACTGTCATTAAAAATATCCATATACTTCTGTTGAATAGTTAAAAATTGATTTCTACTAAAGATATTATTATTTACACTTCCATTTACCCATGATACAGTAGGTAAATTAAAATCTCCTATAAGGATTGCTTCAGAATTGTTCTTTTCACTACATATACCCTTGATACAAGATAGTAATTTATTGTTCTGTTTTAAATTTAAAGAAGTTGATCTATAAATACAACAAATAGTAATCAATCCACCAGATGTGTTAATACTAACAGCTAAAGAGTCTGGTGCACTTAAAAAAGAGCTTACTAAAGAAGCATTACAACTGTTCTTGATATAAATGATAGAACCACCACCCCCACTTATAATATTGGTTGAATTGTCAATCTTAAAATCTCTATCCTTTCTAAACATAGTAAAACCTTCAATAAAAATTTCAGCATCTAATATGTCACTACTAAAATGAGTTTCTGTTATGCAAATCACATCAATAGATTTATATACTGGTAAAATACATTTAAGTTCATCAATTTTATTAAAAAGTCCATTAGCATTGGTGTAAAATATATTTAAGCCTTTACTGATTCTCCTTTCGTCTTTTCCAACCTGTTCTTCTCTGCTTCCAACTGTCTCTTCTTCCTCTCCTTTCTGGCTAAAAAATGAATCTCGCGGTCTGATCTACACTGGTCTTGATTGATCCAGTAGGACGATTCCTTCCAGCCTTTACCAAAGTCAGAGTAAAAATTTACTGACTCTTCGCCGACTGTCTGTATGATGAGAGGTCGACAGTAGTCATGGTTGTTTGGATCAACTTTTCCAGCACGATGGCAGCTAACAATGTCGTCTTTCTTCATCTTGAGTGTTTCTACGCAGAAAGAGACATCATCCTTCTGACGCTGCTTAGGGTTCTTCTCCTTACTCTCAGGAACCTTCAGAACACATAAGTTATGTTTCCTTCTGTCCCTTTCAAATGCATCAGTGTGCATCTTGGACTGCACTTTAGCAATAACATTTTCTGATGACTGGGAGTTGCTCAGATCTTCTATTACTGTCCTCTGAGATTTTGCTGTAATTTCTGAGTAAAGTTGCACAGCTTTGTTGACAGTTTTATCTGTGCTTCCTTTAATAGCTTCCTTAATCGAGTTAGTCAGGGCTGGGGTCAAATGTTGGAGTTCCTCTTTAATAATAGCCCTGACAGCCCCGTTTTCCTTAGTGTCAGCTGAGGTATGAGGCGCCACAAAACAGTATGGGCACTTCCAGTTTGTTAGATTCAGTAACATCTCGTTTTTAAGGCCAGATAAACCAACACAACTCAGGTGCCAAAATAATTGGCAAGCTTCACATTCAACTGATAGTTCTTCTGACATGTAAACATCACATTGGCAGTATTTTTCCTCTGGCACTGGGACATTATCAGAAGATGAATCCTTAGGGGGACTCGTCTTGACTCCACGTTTTTTTCGTATCGACACCCTCTCGGGTACATTGTTACTTGCCATCCCTCAAATTATTTGTTATATAGTAGTGTTGAAAGTATTAAAAAAAAAACCCTCACACCCGATTTCTCGAGTATTCGGATGAGTAGAACGGGGGGCTGCATAGACCACTCACGATCCTTAGCTGAATGTCAACGACACTCACCCCACGACCAGGCAGGCAGTGGGATTTGAACCCGCAACCTCACGATTGCAAAGCTGGCTAACCAACTGCGCTACCTGGCCGTTAAAAAAATAGCTGGTTATAAATTAATATAATCGTAATTAAGCTTTTACATGTATGCCCGGTTGAGCTTAATGCAGCTGCAGGTGAAACTTTTAGTTTTCACCTGAATAGATGAAGGCCGCGCCACGCATCAAATAATGTTTTTCACAACCTGCAACCACACCCAATATGACCTTGTCATACGTTGTATGACCCGCCGCGCACGAGTGCGCGGCTCCCCCTGTATCGTAGAAACTCTACTATAGTTAAACGACGATGGGGGTCACGTTACCTGAGGACCCCAGGCTTTAATGTTGGTAAACAACGAATAGAGATTTGGTCGGGATTATTATGACCGGGATAAAGTGGTGGGTTTAGGGTAAGTTCGCCATATTTTTCCCGAACCACATTTTCACCGGTCGTTAATAAACCCGCCTACTCAGCTTTTAGGGTTCCCAAGGGGTATGGGTGCTCATATTTTAATCGTTGTCTTATATTCACTAAAGAAGACTATTGGGACACTTGTTGTAGGTTTTTCGACTTCATTTGGCTAAAATTGCAAAAAATTTACCTTTTTGCCCAATTCTTGTCATATATCCTTATTGTCAAATTTGATTTAAATAGGCCAATTTTTAATTTCTTAGGTATTGACTATCTCTACATAATGAAATAGGACTCAAAGTAAAAGTAACAGTTAAATTTAAACTTGAATTAATTAAAACTGATGAAAGGTATGATCCAGATGAAGATAACGAAGATGATTACAACTTATTGGAAGACTAAACAGCTCTCCCTTTATAATAATAATAATAATAAATACAACTTTTATAAACCGCCTTATAGCTAAATCATATAACTCGATATAATTTAATCCTGGAGATAAACTCCAGTGCTTTCTAAAGCGGCTCTTACATTAACTGAGCTTAGTTTAATTGAAAATTAGACATGACAAGTTCATTTTACCTATAATGTAAATGCAAAATCAATCAAATGCTAGAGAAAAGAAGTATGTTTTAAGTTTGGTCTTGAAAGATGTAACTGACTCAGCTGATCTTATGTCGTATGGCAAGGAATTAAATACTTTAACTGCACAGTGACTAAAAGCTTTCTCTGTGTTTACATAGTTAGGAGAGGGCGGAAAACTAAGGTAAAAATAATCATTATCAAGACGTACATTTTTAAAACTTTGCTGCCTAGGAGATATCAACTCTTTTAAGTAAGGAGGAGCTATATTATTTAAACACTTGTAGGCAAGTAGGGCAATCTTAAAATCTATTCTAAATCTAACTGGTAGAAAATGAACTTTCTTAAGTAGTGGAGTAGTGTGTGCCTTTCTTCCTCTCCCGAAAATAAATCTTACAGCAGAATTTTGCACCTTCTGTAAACGACTTAAATCATAAGAGCTCAGTCCAAAATATAAACTATTGCAATAATCAATTCTAGAGAGTACTAGAGCATGAACAAGCTGAATCTTAAGGTTAAAAGACAGTTTTGATGCAATAAACCACAAATTTCTGATCTGAATATTACATGCTTGAACCACTGACGTAATCTGATCACTCATTGAAAGATAACTGTCCAAATACAGCCCAAGACTCTTCACAGTTCCACTAACAACATGTGGCTCTTGATCCTTAACAATCTGTAGAGAGGCTGGAATATTTTTTGAGTCAAATTTAGAGGATATAACGATGACGTCAGTCTTAGAAGAATTCAGTTGAAGGAAATTGTTTGTCATCCATTTCTTGATATCAGACATACAGTGTTCCATATTGTGCTCTAGCTGTGATGGGTCATCAGAATCAAGAGTGAAATACAGCTGGGTGTCATCAGCATACAAATGAATACAGCACCCATGCATACTTGCAATGTTCTCAAGATCTTTGGTGTACAATATGAATAGCAGGGGGCCAAGGATTGAACCTTGTGGCACACCTATCTCAAGAACAGTTGATGAGGAAGACGAATCCTTGACTTTGACACAAAATGAACGGTTAGCCAAGTAGGACCTGATCCATGTAAGAGCAATGCCTGTAATGCCATAAGCAGATCTTAGCTTCTTGATTAATCTTGGGTGATTGACAGTATCAAAGGCAGCACTCAAATCTAGAAGTAAAAGAACAACTTTAGTTTTCTTGTCAATAGTTATCAAGATGTCGTTATGGATTCTGGTTGTTGCAGTTTCACAGCTATGAAACTTCCTATAGCCGGACTGAACTTTAGAAAGCAAGTTGTTATCCTCAAGATAACTGGTGAGCTGTATAGATACACACTTCTCAATGATTTTTGACAAGAATGAGAGATTGCTAATAGGCCTCACCATATCATAACTAGCAGGAACCCGTATAACTCTAAAATAGTGTCAAGACTCAAGAGACTAAATAATTATTACCAATTTAATTCGCGTTTTTGACACCACTTGGGGGTTCAAATTTTGGGCTCTAAAACTCCTATTCCTTGGCCAATTTTTTATTTTTTCATGCTGATTTGGAGGCCATTAAAGCATTTGACCCAGTCAAAAAAGTATCAGTTGTATATCTTTTACGGTTTTTGCGGAAAGTCGCGTTAAAGTTGATGCCGTGGTGTCAGTAAAATGGTACGGATAAACACATCCATATATATCGTCTCGCTTTATATATAGTAAGATATCGATCTGGTTGTTACGCTTCAAATGTTAAAAATTATTTTCCATCTAGTTTGACTAACCACGAGTTATTATTTCTGTCTACTTTCAACAATTATTGATAATTCGACTTGTTTCACAAGTTTTAGCAATGCGAAAATTTCTAAACTTGCTTATCTCTAATAAGGAAATTTACATCTGAGACAAAATTTTTGAATCTAAAATTGAAAGGTTGGACACCGGTAAAATGGCGACCGGGAAAATGTGGTGGGTTTTGAGCAATTTCGCCATATTTTTCCCGAACCATATTTTAACCGGTCGTTATAAACCCGTCGTAATAATCCCGAGTAAGGTAGGCGGAATGACAGGCTGAGCGCGGCCCAGTAAGGGGTCACGACGTGATACAAATATGAACTAGTTTCCAACGAAAACTTTAATTAAATTATTTCATGGGACACCAAATAATTAGCAACATATACCACGGCTTATGGGGTATAAATCATTTCACTTTTTAATAATCATAACTATTGCTTGCTACATAACACGTTGTATACCTCTCGCGCGATCGAAAAGGGTTACAGCGTGTGTAAAACTATTGCCACTTAGGAATCCAAAAGGAATCTGTGGCAATTTAGCACTCCATCTGGCCACGAGGAATCTACCAAGGAACCGTACCTGCACGTATATTTTACTTGTGAAAAATGCGTCACACAGTATGCATAGACTCATGGCTATGTGAATATTATACAGAGTTCAACATTTTGTAATACGTTACATGCTGGTTGCTGAGTGGTTAAGGAATCAATGCCGAATAAAATTGTCATTCTCAAATTTTCAAAATTTGTTTAAATATCGCCATGCTTTTAAGACAAATACATGAAATGACATGATTCCACGCCACTTTGATGTCTTTAAATTTGATGTCCTTAAATTATTTCAATGCAGTCACTCAGATGATTTTTAAATCGGGACACTTAAATAAAGACACATACTCTGCCCACAATAAGGGGCCATAATTTTTAAATTATGTAACAGTATAGAATTATTATTATTATTATTATGTCTTAGCGGACTAGGAGTAGCTAAATAGTGTCTAGAAGTGGCTACCTTTTACAAAACATACCAGAGGCTGTTGAGGGCGTCCAGGCGTTCGGGACGCCCTAAAATTATTACCTGGTGGCTGGTGCTTGAAAATGAAAATAGTTGTTGTATTCGGAAATATTAAATCGCGATACAAAGCTTTTTATTCTACTCAAACGATCGAATGTAAGCGCACGCATGATCTTTGTGAAATCATGTTGAAGGGCGTCCAATCCTCGTTTGGACACCTCAGTCGCGCAGTTTTAGCACACAGTTAATTGCAAACTGCTACAAAGCTCATCATCGCATCAACATACTGTATATTTATACGACCAATGTGTCCAGGACACCCTGAACTATTTGAACTATCTGCTTTCATACTGCGTGGCCTGAGATCGTACACGTGTGCTGTCCTATTTTACTAATTTTATAATTTTCCGTCTTTGTTTGCTGTCACCTGTTACACATTACATACAGGCCCTGTGTGTAATTGTAATGTTTAAAACATGTGGGCGTGTGCTAGTGTATGCATGGTAAGTTCTAGCTTCGATGTAATATTTGAAATCATGCCTTATATGTTAGAATAATTTAATTAATTAATTACCTGTGGTATCGTATGCAGTCATCAGCAAATAGCCATCGACAGTTGGGGGAGGGGGCCGCCCCCAAGCCCCCTGAATCCTTCGATTGGACTCCTGACACAACTGCCAGCCAGCTCCCATGAGCTGCCTCTAAAATACGTCGTGGAGAATCCATGGGATCAGAGAGTGCAGACCAAAGACCGTGAGGATTATGCACCCACCTTTGCCTCTTGAATTCTTGATTGGATAGATACTTCTACTTCTTATGAGTGGTTCGATCACATATGATTGCTGGGGACAATCAATTTAAAGAATCTGCAATGTAACATACGTTCTTACTTTGTCATGTTGTATTGATACAACAGTTTATTTTAACAATTGTGCAGAGGCAGCTCGGTGACCTAGCTGGCCGTTTACTAGATGCTACATATCGAATAAATAACATAATACATGCACACGCACATCCGAAAGCCACACAGCAAACCAATATAAAATGAGTGTAAAGTGTAACCAAACCTAATACCAGCAATTCTCTTGTAAGAAAGCACCACACGTGCTACACATCAGCTGCACAGGACACTTAAGTTTCATCAATTCAGGTCGTCCTGAACGCCTTGACGTAAGTATTTTCAGTTGGTGGATGAAATGTTTTGCTTTGTAGCGTTTACAATTAACTGTGTGTTGCACTGAAAGTTTGCGGAGTTAAATTGTTAGCTTCTTGCAAAATTTCTTTTCTTCGACCACCAGGTAATACTATTAGGGCGTCCGCGGACAACTGGACACCTTCAATAACATACTCTGTTCTGCTAATCAGTTCTGACTGTTGATATTCTTTAAATTTTATAAAATTTATTTTTGTATCTCAAAAATGATGTCGAGTTTTTAATATGACGTAGAATTATAGCTATTTCCGTACAGCCTAGGTGTGCGCGTTTGAAGAACTATGAACATGATAGCTCTTTTTATTTTTGTTAGTCAGGCGACATCTTGGGTTGCACTGGACCTAACAAGTTTATTATCGGATGTCTACTTATATTTATTATGATATCATTATTCATTGTAATGGCAATAAAATTTAAGCTTTGTTTTACTTAAATTTTGTTTTACTTAATAGCTGCCTCTACAATTGTGTTTTGCAGCTATGTAAGAAGTTATTGCAAAGTCTTGTCCATGACAAAGACGTGTTGCCAAAACGTTGACACTGAGTGGAGACTCTCATTTTGTCCCCAACAATCAAATAAGATTCGGAATTTCATAGAACTAATCTGACACTGCACATGATTAACCGTTTAAATTTAAATAGTTTGAATTAAAGTGTTCTGGTTGATAATTTTTACTTGATAAACTCTATTGCAAAAGGATCTAATAGCAACTTCAACATTTAATGATGCACATTTTTGCAGGGATGTTACTAATAAATACTGAAGATTGAATCCATCAATTATAGTGACGTCTGGATGGCATCCAAAAAATTCCTCCTTGGTCTGGTTGCAACCTTTTGTGTATTATATGTGATGTTTGTACACCTTGAATCGTCCTACAAATACTACAATGACACAGTTGGCATAGACTTTTCAAATCTGGGGAATAAAGAAGAAGCCAAACATCACACAAAACCAGTTGTTTACTCTCAAGAAACAGGAACATCTGAAGCTGATAGCAGTTATTCTGATTTCCCGGATAATTCTAATGTTGCCGTCATTTTAAATTGTGAGGGACGTTCTGGTTCAACATGGCTTAGTTCATTCTTTTGGAATAACCCACATGTGTTCTATGTTTACGAGCCCTTGTACCCATCAGCATCTAATGCCAAGGCAAGGGAGGATGCAAATCTGTCGACAGAAAGAGGTCACGTCCTTCAGCTAGCAGATTCCTTCAAATGTAACATAGACAACCCATCAGAGACACAGTTTCCCATGGTTCTTGGGCGGTATCCTAGTTACCAACCATTTCTCAAACACTGTGTTGATAACGGCAACTGTCCCGAAAGTTTGACCTCATACTGCCAGTCCAAATCTCACATGGTGCAGAAGGTTATTAGGGTGCACAACATCAGTGATTATATTTCCCTACAGCAAGAGCTTGGTATTCCGCTCAAGATAATTCATTTGATTCGTGATCCTAGACCTCATGTCATGTCCAGAGAGAAACTGTTTGACTACATGTTCAGTGAGGGAAGCACAAAGTACAGCAAACTCCCTCCTGCTGAAAAAAGTGACCAGAGGAGGAAACTGTGTTTACGAGAACTAGATAACATTAAAATTGGTGATTCTGGTGTTTTTAGTGCTGACAGTTATATTCGCTTGAGTCATGAGGAGATGTCTGTTGATCCAATAAAATGGGCTAAGCGTTTGTACGAATTTGTTGGATTAGAGTTTAACCAGGAGACAGAGCTTTACATAGAGGGAATTACGCACGGCAAATCTTTGGTTCAGAATGGTAAGGACCCGGACGGGAGGTTTGCTGGATTCAGTGTTTACAGAGACACTTTAACTGTGCTCTACAAATGGATGTCGGCTAGTCCTAATCACGTTCATGAAATAGAGATTGAGTGTAAAGAATTGTTGGACTATTTAGGTTATGTTAATATTTATGACGATAATTTGATCAAGGTAGCAGAGAATCCTTGGCCCAAAATCGTTACAAACCCTTAAAAAGCTCTAATATTCTCAAATTAAACAATATGACGTATTTAAAGTAAGTATATTTTAAAGTTATGTATATTTTATTAGTAATATAGGGAATATCGTGGTACACCTGCACCCTGTAGTACATGTAGTAGTTCTTGTTATTAATAAACAATCTAAAATAAATCATTCACTAAAATGGCTACTGACAACGCTAATCATTTGCTTTGAGAAAAATAGTTGCATTTGATTATGCCATTTATTTCTGCTCATTTAGTTCAAATTGGTAAATTTCTCTGTTTAGTAGACTTTAGGTATGTGTTTAATTGATTAATTAAATTAATATCATTTAATGGGGCAAAGTTAGTTTGCGAAATTGCAAACTGAAATATTCAAATTTTGGTAAATTTGCCAAATTTCGGTTTTTGGCGTTATTCCTGATATTAATCAAAAACAATTATAATAATAAGGCCTAGATTTAGAATATGGCAATCCACTAGATCAGAGTCTAGCTGTTATTACCCAGAATATCTTAAAATTGTTACAATAAACATTGCCTCAATGTACCACAAGTCTCAGTACCTACCCCAGTAACCATGGTAACACGTACCTAACCCAGTACCTACCCTAGTAACCATGGTAACACGTACCTACCCCAGTACCTACCCCAGCGGCCAGCAACCATGGTAACACGTACCTACCCCAGTACTTACCCCAGTACCTACCCCAGTAACCATGGTTACACGTACCTACCCCAATAACCATGTTATTACACGTACCTACCCTAGTACCTACCCCAGTAACCATGGTATTACACGTACCTACCCCAGTACCTACCCCAGTAACCATGGTATTATACATACCTACCATAGTAACCATGGTGTTACAAGTACTTACCCCAGTACCTACCCCAGCGGCCAGCAACCATGGTAACACGCACCCAGTACCTACCCAGTAACCATGGTAACACGTACCAGGTACCTACTCTAGGTAGGTTCACGAAACCACTTTTCGTTCAAATAATTTAAAGATATTACCTCTAATTAGTTGCTCTATAGCAGGAACAACGGTCTCTACGGTTTCGTATAACTAGCAGTAACCCGTCTAATCCTTGAGTGGTGTCAAGACCCAAGAGACTAAATAAATTATTACCTATTTAATTCGCGTTTTTGACACCACTTGGGGGTCCAAATTTTGGGCACTAAAATTTCTATTTCTTGGCCAATTTTTAAATTTTTCATGCTGATTTGAAGGCCATTAAGACATTTGACCCAGTAAAAAAAGTTTCAGTTTTATATCTTTTACGGTTTTTGCGGAAAATCGTGTTAAAGTTGATGCCGTGGTGTCAGTAAAATGGTACGGATATATATCGTCTCGCTTTATATATAATAAGATACTGACTTGGGCCACGCCCATATTTTTCACCAAATTTTAACAGTTTCTCTAAAAATTCTCTAAATCGTCAATTTAGTCATGAAGGAGTATGGAAGGAGTTCTAAATGTGTGCTCCTCTAATATTGTCAGTAGAAAATGGTTAACCTAAATCGAGGTCTCAAGTCTCTACAATGTCTTATGTCGGGAAGTTCCTGCAGGAGTTTGCGCGTTGCGCTGAAGTGTGAGATTCACTGCGCCAAAAGCGAAGGTCGTAGAGACATGAGACCTTGACTAAAGTTAACCATTTTATACCATTACTGAAAGAGTATGACACTTTCAGAGTCCTGAACGCACTCATATATCTCTTAATCGTCAATTATATGAATTTAACCTGTTAAAATATATCATCCTTAACTGATGTCGATTGAGTTTAACACTGTTAGCTTTTTAAAATAAAATAATGCTTCACACCAAACTTACACACAATATAAAAAATTCCTTCTTTACAATATAAAAAATTCTACATTAACTGCCCCCCCCCCTACTGTAGCATAAAACTTTAAAATTAACGAGCCTATTTGACATTGGAGATAAAGTTGACATAATATTAACGTGTACCAATTATATACAGAATAATAACGTGTTATCATTGTAACAGGATTACACATGATTCAAATTAAACTATCGTGAACCGTCATATTTGTACGCAATTAGATAAACAAAGGATTACACTGTGTATAATATCATATTACTACTGCGACGTGTCACCATGGTTACAACTGTACTATACTACGTGTGGGCCGTGGGGGAACATTTTGCCCACTTAACCTCATGAAATAAAGTTCAACAAAATATGTACATTTACATTTGGAGGGGGATTTGTTTTAAAACATATAAGAGATACGAACAGAGTCTAATGACGTGGAAATATGGTATGTTCTGGGGTAGGTATGTGTAATACCATGGTTATTAGCCACTGGGGTAGGTACTGGGGTAGGTACTGGGGTAGGTACTAGGTACTTGTAATACCATGGTTACTGGGGTAGGTACTAGGTACTTGTAATACCATGGTTACTGGGGTAGGTACTGGGGTAGGTACTTGTAATACCATGGTTACTGGGGTAGGTACGTGTAATACCATGGTTACTGCGTGTGGGGGAACATTTTGCCCACTTAACCTCATGAAATAAAGTTCAACAAAATGTACATTTAAATTTGGAGGGGGATTTGTTTTAAAACATATAAGAGATACGAACAGAGTCTAATGACGTGGAAATATGGTATGTTCTGGGGTAGGTGAGTGTAATACCATGGTTAAACTTAATAGATATCGATTCCCGTGGGGAGGTGATACATGTTTGTTTACGTTTTAGGTGGCGCCTCTATTCAGCAGGTTGAAGATGTGATGCCACTTTGGAATTATAGAACGCTTGTAACTCCTTCTTGTTACCCCCTTTGGCCTTTGAACTTTTGAAGGTCCCGAATTATTTTCTGAACGAAAGCTCAAAAATAACCGAGAAATCGACCTTCTTATTAACTCATTTTGATGACTGTTTCTGACCTAAAATTGCACGAAAAATCGATTTAACTAGGTTTCAGAACCTATTAACACTTCCTTATCCCTCAAAATCGATGTTTTATAGTTAATACGAGCAACAAGCAACATATATTTTGATCCTTCAGCTTCGGTTCTACTCATGACCCAGGGCCTAGGGAGTTAAGCTGAAACCGAAAGATCGAGGCAATCCTCACTTTAACTGATCGAACAGGTACTAACACAATTTTCAGATAGAAATGTTCGTTGCAATATGTTTATTGCAGCTTTGCAACTTGAGCGAAGAGCAGAGTACGAAAAAACACAGCAAGTAAGCAACTCAGTTTGGTGACTGTTCTTCACCTAACATTGCACCAAAAATCGATTTAAGTTTGGTTTACAGCCCAATAACGCTTCCCTATTCCTCAAAATTCTTGTGTTACTCAAACAAAGAACATTTTGATTCTGAAACGAAGGAGATCATCTCGTTAACAACTCGAACAGGTTACAGGTACTATCACAATTTTCAAAGCAGAGTACGATGATAGCAAAGTCAAAAGAAACACAATGAAGGTAGGTAACCAACACCATGATTATATAACAATCATAATAACAACTGAATTATATTTATTCTGAACGATGGGCAGCCATGCGCTTCGTGATCCTGACCGAGCGACCAATTGTAATACAGGTGTAATGTCAAGTGACGCCGATTCGTCCAATCACAAACAAGAAGAGCGAGTAGACGGATATCGTATGTTTACTTTCCTTATCTGTATTTGACCCTCTGTTCACATAACACATTGTTATCTCTACCACAGCTTGGCTCGGCAATTTCAAGGTGCTCATATCTGCACGTTACACTGCACTGCAGTACACGCCATGATTACGTCATGAACTAGAAATAGTGTGATCGTTATAATATAACCGTGCCCACTACCCACGTACAATATAAACTGTTGGGGGGGGGGAAGGGGTTTTACGATAGGCAAACGATCTTAGAATTAGAAGTAGAATTAGAATCAAATTTACACAGCAATACAATTAGAATAAAAAATAATTTAAGAAGCTTCAATTTCAAGAAGCTTCTTGATAGTCGCTCCTCCAACTGACTGTGGTGCTTACCTTCCAATCATGAACAAAAGTAAACGAACGATATAATATCCGTCTGCTCACTCAGTCTTCCTGTTTGTGATTGGACAGATCGGCGTCACGTGACATAACACCTCTATTACAATCGATCGCTCGATCAGGATCACGGCTGCCCGTCGATTAGAATAAATAAAATTCAGTTGTTATTATGATTGTTATATCATGGTGTTGGTTATCTACCTTCATTGTGTTTCTTTTGACTTTGCTATCGTGCTCTGCTCTGAAAATTGTGATAGTACCTTTTTTTTTATTTCAAAATTCAAATAAACTTTACATCAATGTATTACAGTTATATTCAATAAAAAGACCACAATATCTCCTGTGAAGCAAAAACATGGAAAAAGAGAGCTAGAAAAATATTCATGATACTCAACACTACCAGACTCAGCTGGAGTGAGAAACAATATGTAAAAACATCAAGGTAAAATTTATTTCGGCTGAACCAAAACACGGTGGCAAGACCATAATTACATTGGTGCCGACCCTACATAACCTGTTCGAGTTGTTAATAAGACGATCTCCTTGTTCTTTCGTTGCAGAATAAACATTTTCTTTGTTAGAGTAACACAAGAATTTTGAGGAATAAGGGAACAAGGACAAAAGAAAATCGCGATAATTTAGGCCAAAAATCACGGCGCCGCGACAAGCCAAACAAATCGCGGCGAAAAGATAATATTTTTGCAGAGCTAAGTTAGATGTTATATATTCCCAAACTATTTAATTTTATCGGCTCATGTTCCATGATGATTTAATCTCAAATCACATCATCATGACAAGTATCTGACAAGTGATAATCAATAATAACACTGATTTCACCTAACTGCACAATTTCATAATCCATTGTATGACTCTAATGGTCAAGTCTATGTAATGTCTAGTGGTCTAGTGAACTTTATGAGGTTTCTGCTTAAGACAGCTTACTATCAGATAGAACCATCACACCCGTCTCTTTAATACTTTTCTCTGGAGTTTTACTGCTTAACTTATTAACTTATTAACTTATTAACTTATTAACTTATTAACTTATTAACTTATTAACTTATTAACTTATTAACTTATTAACTTATTAACTTATTAACTTATTAACTTATTAACTTATTAACTTCTTCTAATTCTAGATAGAGCGGTAAAGTAAGAATGCGTGTTTCTGCTTGCCCCATATCATAACCGTTTATACACGGTTATTTTAAAACATTCTACATTCTATGCTATTGTGTACAATGGGTATTTTTTCGTAGATTCCACGGTTTTTC